GAAGGCACAAATGTGTCATCAAGAAGTGATTTATCTAGGGCACATTTTGAAAGAAGGACAAAGATGGCTCACAGATGCCAGGAAAGAAACGGTGCTGAAGGTTCCAATCCCCAACTCCTGGAGAGCAGTGAGAGAGTTTTTGGGATTGGCAGGGTTTTGCTGCCTCTGGATCCCAGGGTTTGCCGAATTGGCTAAGCCTCTCTATGGGGCTACAAAAGAGAATGAGACTTTCGTTTGGAGGGAGGAAAGAGAAAGGGCCTTTAATGAAATTAAGCAAGCCCTCCTGATGGCCCCGGCTTTGGGGCTCCCTGATATCACCAAGCCTTTCCACCTCTACATAGATGAAAAGAAAGGAATAGCCAAAGGAGTCCTGACTCAAACGTTAGGACCCTGGACTAGACCAGTGGCATACTTGTCTAAGAAACTTGATCCAGTAGCTGCAGGATGGCCACCGTGTCTGTGGATTATAGCTGCTACTGCCCTTCTAGTCAGGGATGCAGATAAATTGACATTAGGGCAAGAAATGCACGTCACCACTCCTCATGCTATTGAAGTTCTTAAGCAGCCACCAGACTGCTGGTTGAGCAACGCCCGAATAACCCATTATCAGAGCTTACTTCTTAACCCTCCGAGAATTCAGTTCCTCCCAAGCACCACCCTTGACCCAGCCACCCTGCTGCTCAACCCCGACTTGGACGTGCCCCTGCATGATTGCACGGGGATCCTGAGCCAGGTACATGGGCTCAGAAATGACCTGACTGATCGGCCACTCTCTGATGCAGAAGCTACTTGGTTCACTGATGGTAGCAGTTTCATGAAGGATGGGCGGAGGTATGCAGGGGCGGCGGTGGTAACAGACAGACTGTTTGGGCGGCGGCTTTGCAGGCAGGAACTTCGGCTCAGAGGGCTGAACTGATAGCTCTGGCTGAGGCCCTTAGGCTCGGAAAGAACAGACGATTGACTGTGTACACAGACAGCTGATATGCCTTTGCTATGGCACATGTGCATGGAGCCATTTAGCAGGAAAGGGGGCTGCTCACAGTGGAGGGAAAAGCTATTAAAAATAAACAAGAAATTCTTAACTTGTTGGTGGCTCTATGGCTGCCTAAGAAGTTGGCTATTATCCACTGCCCCGGGCACCAGAAAGCTAACACGCCCATAGCTCAGGAAATCAGAGAGCAGACCGGGTTGCCAAAGAAACAGCTTTGGAGGCCTTCCAGATTTGCCAATCCAAATGCCAGATCCTGGCCCCCCTGTCCTACCTGATCAGCCTCACTATTCCCAAGAGGATATGAAATTGATACACAAACTTCCCATGACCCAAAAGATCGAAGCTTGGTGGCATACAGGAGACTGTAGAATTATTCTGCCAAACGACTTGGCCAAAGACTTCCTCACACACATCCACCGAACCACTCACCTGGGTACAAGGAAAATGGCTGAACTCTTAAGAAATACTCACTTGAAAGTCTTGAATCTCCGCCCACTGGTTAATGCAGTCGCCTCCGCATGCCTTAGTTGCAAGCTGACCAGTGCTGAAAACCATCCTAAGGAACAAGGGGCTTGAATGAGGGGATCTAGACCAGGGGCCCACTGGGAGATGGACTTTACAGAAGTTAAGCCAGGCAAGTATGGTTACAAATATCTACTAGTTCTGGTAGACACCTTTTCAGGATGGACTGAAGCCTTCCCCACCAAGCATGAGACCGCTCAGGTGGTAGGCAAGAAACTGCTGGAGGACATCTTACCCAGGTATGGCATCGCAGCCCTTCTGAGCTCCAACGAGCCAGCCTTTGCATCACAGGTAACCAAGGAATTAGCTGGGATATTAGGGGCAAGATGGAAATTACATTGTGCGTACCAACCCCAGAGCTCGGGGCAGGTAGAGAGGATGAATAGGACTCTAAAAGAGACCCTTACCAAATTAACCATGGAGACTGGCGGGGACTGGGTGGCTCTCCTTCCCTTCGCCCTGCATAGGGTGAGGAACTCACCCTATCTGCTAGGATTGCCCCCCTATGAAATCATGTTTGGAAGGCCCCTCATCGTCCCCAGTCTAAGACCTGAACTAATTGCTGAGTTTGATAACCAACAGTTGCTTGATTCTCTAGAGGTGGTGGCTCAGATGCATAGGGACGTATGGCCGTGGCTGAAAGCTATCTATGAGACTGCTCCCCCTCCTACCCCCAACTACCAGCCTGGCTATTGGGTCTACATCCCTAGACATCGTCAAGAGACCCTGGAACCCTGTTGGAAGGGACCCTACTCCATGATCCTGATGACTCCGACAGCTCTCAAGATCAACGGAATCACCTCCTGGATCCACTGCTCTCATGCCAAGGCAGCAGACCCTGAGTTGACCGAGTCTCCAGGAGAGGATAAGTGGACTGCCTCTCCTGACCCACATAATCCCCTTAAGCTAAAACTCTGAGTGGGCCCCTAAAATGTATTGGCTATTCCTATTGATATTCTTGACCTACCACCCCGAGAGAGCAGAAGGCAACTTCCATATGCCATGCAAGTTAACCTAGTTTCTCTTGGACGGGGAGACACATGATACTCTAAGCCAGATCATGCGCGGGACCCCAGAAGGCACCTGGTTGCCTGACTTATACTTCTGTCTGTGTGATCTAAATCAGGTTTATAATTCAGCGCAACAGGACCTGGCTAGGAGACATGGGTTTTATGCATGTCTAGGCCACCATAAGAACAAGAGGGAATGTGGAGGCTGGGAGTCTTTTTACGCAAAAGTTGGGACTGTGTTACCTCCAACGACAGAGAATGGAGATGGCCAGTGAAAAAGACAGATTTAGTTTCCTTTGCCTATACTAACCCCATCCAATATCGGCCCATCCCATAAGGGAAACAGCCCTGTGGGCCATGCAGTGTGGACTGAATAAAAGTCACATTCTCTGTTGAAGGAAAACGAGATGGGCACTGCCAAAATGGCCTAAGATGGAGTATGGTATATTATAAGTATGGGGGACATGCTGGTTCCACCATCATAATTAAACTAAAGGTGGAACAGATAGAGCAACCATTGGTAGTAGGTCCTTACAAAATACTTAACCCCCCTGTGTACCCCACACGGGTGACCATCTCAAAACTTCGCTCCACTGCAACCCTACTTCTAGGAACCTCAAGCCACAAAGTCTCCCAAAACTCTGCACCCATGCAACCCCTGACCTCAGTGCCTAAGCTTGAACCAGGGACAGGGAGACTCCACCCCGAGCCTGACTTAGGTAAGAGACTGCATCCCATGGTGGATCTGCTGCAACAAACGTACTTGGTCCTTAATGCCACGAGGCCTGATCTCACTAGCTCGTGCTGGTTATGTTATGACATAACACCCCCCTACTACGAGGGGATAGCTGTGAAGGCCGACGTGGCTCAGACAAAGGAGCCAAATCAGTGTCGCTTGCAGTTCCCCCCACCCCCACCCCCGTCATCCTCTAACACTACAACTGGTGATCTGGCGAGGGCTATGCATTGGAAACATGTGAGGATAGAGTGACCTTTTGCAATGGGACCCTCCCTCTAAGTGACCCATCTGAGTACATGATCCCCCAAAATGACACTTGGTGGGCATGTTCCACTGGCCTAACTCCTTGTGCTTCTACAGCAGTCTTCAAACAAACTGGAGGGTTTTGTGTCCTTGTCCACCTGGTGCCCCGGCTCCTATATCACGATGAGGATGGATTCCTCAGTCACCTTGAGGGGAGGGTTGGTCTCCCTCGTAGGCGACAGGAACTTGTCACTGCCACAGGCCTCACTCTTAGCTTGCTCCTGGGTACTAGCTTGGCAGGGATAGGGACGGGGACAGTTTCATTAATTACTCAGGGCAAGTACTATTCAGATCTAAGGGCTGCCATTGACCTGGACATTGAGAGACTTGAAAACTCAATCTCTCATCTCTCACTGAGGTTGTATTACAAAACCAGCAAGGGCTAGACTTGATTTTCCTGCAGCAAGGAGGGCTTTGTGCAGCCTTGGGAGAGGAATGCTGCTTTTATGTCGACCATTCAGGAATAGTCAAGGAATCTATGGCTAAAGTAAGGGAAGGATTAGCAAAGAGGAAGCGAGAGTGAGAGGCCCAGGAAGGATGGTTTGAGTCTTGGTTTAATTCATCTCCCTGGCTCACCACTTTGCTCTCAGCCTTAGCTGGGCCCATAATCCTCCTCTTATTACGTTAACTGTTGGACCATGCATCATCAATCGGTTGGTTACTTTCATCAGAGAACAAGTGAGCACAGTACAACTCATGGTTCTGAGGTCCCAGTATCAGCCCTAGGACCCCTCATTAGGGACCCTAACCTGGACCCAAGATTGGGTCCTCTCTAAGTTACAAAGAAAAGGGGGGAATGTGAAGCCCTCCTCCTTGGCTCCCTGTCCTGGACTCCCAAGACCCCTGCCCCTCTTTAGGACTAACTGCTCTTTTTTGCTTCTGTAAACTGCTTGATTGCTTGATTGAAAGGACAAACTATATTAACCCCATTTTGACTAGCTGTTTCAGGCAAGCCTGGACATGCCCAGGCATATTTTAATCTCCACCTGCCACCCCCACCTCAGGAGGCTATAGGTCAAACAAGCCCAGACATATAGCAGCCTTATAAGGTAGAAACCGAGACTTCTGGCTCTACAGATAACCGTCAGCACATTCCACAGCTCTGAGGGTAGCACCCACCAATGAGAAGCCCCCAGGACTGCATCCCTTATAACCAATCAATTCAAAAGTGTGTTGGCGTGCATGGGCTCCTCGGGCCAATCAAAGTGTGACTCTGTTATTCCCCTCCTCTGTTTGTCTAAAACCTATAAAGTGCTTCCACTCCCTGTGATCGGGGCTCTCAGCACAGATCCATTGCGTTGGTAAGGTCTGGGACCCCGAGGTTAAGCCCAAATAAAGACTCTTTGTTCTTGCATGCCCTCTGGATTCCGTGGTTGTTCTTGGGGGTCCGTTCTCTGGGCACAACAATGGAAGGCAACACAGGCAGGCAAAGATCTGTTTTGGAGCCACAAAATGATTTTATTTTGAACCAGGAAGCAAGAGCAGTCAAGAGGAAATACTGGCCTGAGGGCCTTGGCAGTTGACTCAAGAATCAGGGAATTTGCCCTGGTATATGAAGGCAGAGAGAAAACCAGCTTCTCATTTCCACACTAAGCTCATTAAGATCACAACACTTACTAGTAATTTGCATTTACACAGGCTTGAATTGCTTTAGATTTCAGATTCTGGCAAGTATTTTGTAAATAGTTTTGAGGATGAAGGAGGCCTTTCAGTGAAGGTATTGACCTCTGCTCACTTTTTGTTGTTGTTGTTTGTAGTTGAAAAAAGCAAACAAACAATAGTGTCTAAATTAGGACACAACTCACGTCTTGAGTCTGATATTTTTTGTGGTGAGCAGCACTGTACATTGCAGCACATTTAATGCCATCCCTGACTTCTACCCACTAGATGCCGGTAGCAATATGTCCTGAACATGTGACTACCAGAATTGATGCCAGACATGGCCAAATATCTCCTAGGGTAGCAGAATCAAGATTTCGATGAGAAGCACTATTTTCAAATCATTTTTCCTGCTGCCGTCATTGTCTGTGTGCTGTCAATGCTTTACCAAGGTAGGCCAGATGTCAACTTCCCAAAACCAGATACACTGAGCATGCAGGCACGTGTCTCTGCAGCCATTTGTATGCGCGCCTGGAGCTGAAATGGAAATCCATGTTGAATGGAGGGCACTGGCTCAGTGCTCAGGAAGTTCAAGGTCCATGTGTCAGCACAATAATAAAAAGCCTGTCTGTATTCAGTCTGCTTTTTCTCCAGCAGAAACCATCAGAGACGTACACACTTTGTCAAGTCACTTTCTTTTAAAGCTGGAAAGAAAATCTTAACCCTAGGCCCATCCTCATCTAATCCACCATTTTGATTTCTACTTGAATGATATGGCTAGCAAGTTTCAGCTCTGGATCCAGGTTTCTTTCTTTCTATCCACTAGGAAGAGCGATGCCATCTTTCAGAGTTCTGTTCCAAGGACTCATTATATAATTTGCAGGGCTCATTGCAAAGGGAAAATGTTGGCCCTGTGCTAAAAAGCCATTAAGAATTTCATGGCAGTGAAAAGTGATCATGGCACCAAGCTTACAGTCCTTCTGTGCCCAGGGCTCTTGGCAACTGAGTCATTCACAAACCCATGATGCCAAGTCTTTCCAGCCTTCATTGGCATCACATCAGTTTTGTTGTACTAATTTAATTGGCACTGCCATCTCATTTTTGCCCCTTGATGGAAATACTTCCTGGGAAGAGGCCCCAGTCCATTTAAAGAAAATGCAGAGTTATACTGTACCAAATGTTTACAGCATGTATTTTTAGACTTTCAAAACTCCACATGGAAATCTTTTCTACATCATTACAGTAATTAAACACTGTGGCCTTTCACCATATACATATTTTCCTGTAAATATGACAGCCTGGAAACAGTAACTGCTACATCCACAATGTTTTTAAGTTGGCCAAGATTGAGACTTCTACAACAAAATTATAACATAATCTGTCTTGTCTTTACAAAAATAGCCAAACACACCCTAAACGGCTTGCAGTGATATCTAAGGAGTAATATCTTTATACTGGAAAACATTTTCATGGTAATAGTGTCCTTCTAGTAAATGCTATGTATTAACATCATAAGGCAAACCATAGTATTTATTGGTACCTGCAGACCATGATGTTTAAAACTCAGAAACTGAGTTTTAGACCATTTTATTTAGAACCTGTTAAGTGTACAAAGTGCATTAAAATATCTATATCCAGTTACCCCAAAGTGTAGAAATGACTAAGACAACCTTTATTCATGGAAGGCAAATACAGATTGTTTTCATAGTGTCAAAAATCACTTTTAAATTGCTAGAGAAGGATGAATTTTTTCCAGTGAGGTGTCCATTTTTAATATGTGAAATTGTCTCAAGTAGCTATCAAAATATCCATCTGAGTATAAATAATATAGTAAATATATAGAATCTATCCATTAAGAAAAAAGACAGTATCTGTCAGGAAAATGACAGAAAGACACAGGATGCTGGCTTGGTCCTCTTTGAAGTCCACATTGGCAAGCACATCAGTTTTGACCATCTGATGCTCAAACAGTGAATTAGTGAGTTATTTTGGGGAAACACTTGGTTAAAAACAAAATCACTAAAAACAACATCTAAATCCGTCAGTCTGTTCAACATTTGCTGGCTGAGTCAGTGGCCCAGATAAATATTTTAGCAATTAAAACCATTTATACAGGTCACATCCCTTGTCAAGATGAACCCATGCCAATGACCACTTGGGAAAGCCTTAATTCAAGGACCATTACAATCTATCAGAACATCATAAAAAGAATTCCATTAGCAGATGTGTGTATGGGAATAGTGGATTTGAATTCTTAAAACTCAGATGATAAGCTATATTAGGATATAATGAGACATCTACATCTTTCAAAATGTGCTTAATAAAAGCTTATTTATAATATCTTTAGAGGCATGTATACTGGTGACTAGCACTTTATGTGATGCCCCTTGTCATTACTCATAAATATTATGTTTTTTGGTGAGCTTATATTGGATACGGTAGTGACCAAGTCCATGTGCTGATGTACCAGAAAGCAAACTCAACTGAAAGTTGGACTATTTGTGATAGAATATGTTCATTTCCTCAGCCCCAGAAATAAAAGCAAAATTAATTTGGGGAAAGGCAAACTAGGACAACTATTGAATGTAATGAAAGAATTTTACAGGCCTAACATAACTAGTAAGAGGAAGGATGAAATAGTTTTATACTATGAAACAGAATCCTACTTCTGATAAAACACAAATCAGCACAAAATTTTGAATAATCTGTAGGATTCAAAGTGACTATTTTCAATTGCAATTTGCAATTTCATTCATAATGTTAACCCAAAAGCTTCAGCCCTGGAAAATGGGGTGAACATATGGCCAAAGGCTTTAGAACCTTTCTTCCCCAAATTATCTCATCAGCCACAGCTAAGTCTGAGGTCCCAAGTTAATTCTTTCCATTCTCTCATGCTCTCCATTCTGATCCAGTTCAAGTTTCTGACATCACATTTAAAACATCTCAAAGTAAATGAGAGTAAGAAAGCATGCTTACTTTCCTACTAGGTCAAAAATGACTTTTTAAGATAGCTGCATATTGTGTTATGTACTGTCCAAGTGACAGGACCTACCATGTACTCATCATGAAATATGTAGAGAAGTGAATAAGCATAGAACTCTACAAACCCAGAGATCGTTATGAAATGAAAGTTGGAAAGGGCTGATAAACTTAGGGGCCTCATTATGTGCAAAACGAAATAATTCCTAAGAGTTGTAATCCCGATTATGTTTGTTTTATAAATAATCTGTAGGTTTTCCTCTAGATACAAAAGAATTAAAGAAATTATTAAAGCCCGTACTTAATATAAAACACAGTAAAGGATGGGACTCTCTCAGTCAGAGCCCTATCTTAGCTGGCTTGTGAACAAATTGGGGGAGATTTAATAATTCTCTTGAAGCCTTTCTTTCTCAATTCCCTAAACTGTGGCCTCAAGCTTTGTTATTCCGAAGGAAGCTGCTCTGTGTGGCTGGACGCTCAAGGCAACTGCTCTGTACAGTCCAAATGGTCTGGGATAGGAAGACCAGTAATAATCGTCAAACACTTGTTCCACACAGTGAAGGTGGGGCACACAGGCTGCGCAAATGCCACATCGAAGGTGTAGAGGTGAATGGAGTTCAAAGCATCATAAAAAGCAATGGAGCCATTATCATAGTCCAGCAGGATGCCTACACGCCGAAGGTGGGGGGCTGGCTCAATGGGAATTTCCTTGCTGTTGTGCCTCACCACCCAGTTATTGTTGCACCGGCAGAGGGCCCAGGAAGCAGAATTCTTCCCAATCCATTCATGCTTCGGGGCAGATTTGTATGCAAGGCCAATGGCATACCTGCAGAGGAAAAACAGCAATGATAAAACAATGAGCCACAGTGCTAAATCCACTCTGTGGTCCTTATGGTTCATTAAAACATATGGTCCCTGATCACTCTTTTTACATGAAACCTTGATAAGAACTCCAGCACTGTGTTGGGCACCTTTGTCCCTCTCAAAAACACAGGAGGTGGGAGCTAGAGAGATGGTTCAGCGGTTAAGAGCACTGACTGCTCTCGCCGAGGAACTGAGTTTGATTCCCAGCACCCACTCGGTGGCTATGAACCGTCCTTAACTCCAGTTCCAGGGGAAACCGAAGCCCTCTTCTGACCTCCGTGGCATTGGATGACAAGGGTGCACTCACATACATGCAGGCAATACAATCATACATACAAAATAAAAATAATAAAGAAAATACTAAACAAAACAAACAAAACAAAACAGGGGGTGGAATGTGGCCAGTGTGTTTGCCTGCAGTCCTGTTTGAAGTTTAAATGCTGCATGAGAATTTCAGCTTTCTATTTCACAGCTTTGTTTTCTCTTTGGTGAATATCTGTACAATTGAATTCTTTGGATCATTGACAATCAATCTAGATCCTTCTGCAACAACTGAAGTGGCCTTCTCTGTTCAGTACAGTGGCAACAAGGCGCACATGACTATTGGGCACTGGAACTGTGGCTGGTGTACTTGACAAATCAAATTTATATTTATAGAGAATCTCTGACTTAGGATTTGACTTTGGACTTAGGATTTCTCAACTTTATAAAAGCAATATGCAGTTGGTAGAAACCGTCCTTTGAGTTTTGGCTTTTTATCTTTTCCTGGCTTGTTGGATATGCAGTTAGAGTACTTCTTATGATGTTAGACATCTTGAGGGTCAAGAACTGGTACCACATATGACATTGTATCAATAAATGATATAAAATTATCAAGATTTTAATACAGAATATGTCTTGTGCTAGAGGAGTTAGCCCAGCTGCAGGTTCATGTAAATAGTATCAGAGCATTTAAAGTATGCCGGGTTGAGCTATGATGTTTGGTAAGTTAGGTGTCAGAAATGTATTTATTTTCCACTTCCAACATTTTCATTTTCCCCATGGAATGATCAGGATATAACTTCAGCATAAGTAGAGAAGCACCTGTATTTAGTTTAAAAAACTATTGCTTCACTGAGAATTTCATACCATGTATTTTGGTCATATTCGGCTCCCCTCCCCAAACTCCACCCCACCTTACTAACTCCCCAACTTCATGTCCTCTATTATTATTATTATTATTATTATTATTATAATATTGTTGTTGTTATTATTATTTAACTGGAGTCTTGCACTGTGGTCCAGACTGGTCTAGAACTCACTATGTAGTGTAGATTGACTTCAAACACACAGCAGTCTTCCTTCAAGAGCCTTCCAAATACTAGGACTTTAGGCATGAGTCACCAGCCCAGCTTGTACTTAAGTTTGATTAAGTTTATTGAATTGCCTATTATATATGCGTCAGAGCTACCATACTGAGCGACACGACTACTTATTCTCTGAACCTTCCTTAAACATTATAACTTGTAACACATCTGTGATTTTGATTGTACTTTGCTAAAGGAAGGCAGAAAGATTTATTTCTATTTGTGAGGATGTCTTTTTGTCATTCAGTCTCAATGTCTCAACTATACCATAAAGACAATAGGTTTCCATCTCCCAGAATAAAAGAGTAAAAGAAAAATACGCTTTAAATCCTAGTCACACAGGCTGGCATATAATGTTCAGTAACTAATATTTTATTAGTATTGTCTGATAAAATGCTAGTAGTATGTACCAGAATCAGAATTCAAACCTAGTATGTCTCAAAAGGCCAAATACTTAATCGACGCTTTATCATATCTTCCCCTCACCAGAAACTGTGCAGTCGAATTATATTTCCTGCTACATTTTAAGAGCATGTACTGCTTTTCCAGACAGCATCAGTTTTTCCCCTCACCAGAAACTGTGCAGTCGAATTATATTTCCTGCTACATTTTAAACTTTTAAAAACAACTTTGAGGGTGCTAAAGAGTAGTTCAGTGGTTAAGAGCATGTACTGCTTTTCCAGACAGCATCAGTTCGGTTGTCAGCAGTCACACTGGGAAGCTCACAACCACTTGTAACTTCAGCTCCAGAGGATCTGACACCCTCTTCTGGCCTCTGCTGGCACCTCCATACACATGGCATATACTCATCCAACCACCACCACACCCCACATACAAGTAAATAACTTAAAAAAAATCTTTAAAAGTATCTTTGATCAGACAGCATTGAGTTATTGTAAATATTCTTTAATTCTATTCAGAAAAAGAAAGTATTAAGAATTTTCCTACAACGTTCTAAGCATCTTAATCTCTTTTTACCTATCTGAGACATGCCCTGTAATAATACTTAAAAACATCTCACAGTTATTAAGATAAGGCAAATACATCACTCTTAATCAAGACTGAATTATTTAGAGCAGAGACTAGTGCAACTGGATATTAGCATATGGTACCTTATCTAAACAGAGAAAAAAATGTCACTGATCTTTGTTAAAATGACATTCTTTTAAAAATTCACATTATACAAATGCTTGACTGGGTAGAATTAACATGTATGGCACAATACATGAATTCTGATGTGGGGGGTGGGGGCATGGTTGGGGAAAGTGGTCTGAATTTGATTAAAACTATTTTATGAAGTGTACAATAGCTCAATATTTTTTTTAATCGCGAACAAAAGTTAAAAACATATTTAAAATACAATCACTTTAAGAGAGATATGTTTAAAAGAAAATTAATTTAATATCCTGCAACTGAATTTTTAAAAATGTAATGATAATCCATTTAACCAGTGTGCCAGCCTGTCTTCTTCCAATACCACATCTTCTCTTCCCTCTCGTCAATTGAGAGAGGGAGAGAGAGAGGGAGAGAGAGAGAGAATTTCCCAGAAGCCCCTTCTTTGAGTGTAGGTCGGGTTGTGCCTTCACACAGGATTCTGAAGTTGTAAGAGGATTTGGGTCACTCTTTTCAATGACAGACAGTGAAATTTGTAATAGCAGACTTTAGATCACTCCAGGCTTCCCCTGCGTTGGCTGTGGGCAACAGGTCATCATGACTTCATGCACTGGAGCAATAGACTTTTGACCTATATTCTCAGCTATGCCAGGGATCCTATAAGTTTCTGACTCCCTTCTTCTTTGAAGGACCTTGATTGACTTCTGTTTATGTGCCAAGAGCCAGCCAATATATTTTGGGAAGATTTGCATTTTGCATGTGTGTGTGCTCATGTGGAGGCCAGAGTTCAACACTGTTTTCCTCTATTCCTCTCCACCTTATTTTTTGAGACAGTGTCTCTCACTGAACACACAGCTTACTGCTTTGGTTAGACTGTCTCTGTCCCCAAAAAACTCCATTCAGCTTTTACATGGGTGCTGGTGATCCAAATTCAGGTCCTCATGCTTGAGGGGCAGGTACTGTACTGATTAAGGCATCTCCCCAGTACCAAGGTTTGCATTTTGCAACTTAAAATATCTCCCTTGAGGATGTTATCTTCACCCCCCCAGGCACTATTTCCAGTTTTCAGATACTGTGGGATCCCAATTTGCATCACAAAATAACAATGTTGGCATTGTTTCCTTCTTGTTGCCGCACACAATTTTTTTTTAATTATGGAGCTCTAATATTTATTTCCCATTTGAACCTTAATTGACCCTTTGAAGTAACTGTAACAAAGAAGGGCTGACTCCATTCAGAAAAGGAGAAACTTAAAATTGGGAGAAAACTCTAGAAATCTTGTGCTTCCCTTCCAACTTATAGTCTAGCAATTCTGGCACGAACCCACTCTTACTGATTCAGTTAACACCATTTCCTTAACACCAAGTGCACATTAACGGTGTTTGAGAGCAAGAAAATAACCAAATATATAGTTCATTAAGCAAAGGAAAATAGCATTATATTATCATTAATCTGTGAAACTGCACATATTTCCATTGAGCTTGAAAGACGCATGCAGAATGTAATGTTCCATTAAGTTACGCAGTGAAACATGGAGAAATTAAAAGGTATAAAAACAGTTTCTCAAAGCAATGCTAACATGCCCCATTGCGGATCATAACATGCATGTTAATTTAAAGTCAAAACTATATTTCACGAGAAAATATGTGTGTCATTAACTGTTGTAAGTCAGAGTATCACAAGGATTTAGTTGTAGGGGACACCCTTTCCTTGCTAACACCTACCTATCTAGAAATATAAAACTACTTTGTCCATCAAGATTTTCTGAAATTGACAGAGTCAGGTTTGTATGAAAAGACCCAATGCATGGCAATTAATTGTGGAATTTCTTTTTCCCCTCACAAGTTAGTTTTGACATCTGGAGGGTGTTTTAGAGGTAATGCTGATCTGTGTTTATGTAATTGAAGTGGTCTGGTGAAATTTCCACACTATTCATCAATGGCAATGAGATCATAATGATATAGTAACATTTATCATAAGTAATTATTAATGCGGTTATAATCATTTAGACACTGAATTCCATCCCAGATTAATATAGCGCATTAATTAACTAGAAACATTTGTTTTTCCACATGTGGATTCTATCTTCTTTTGTGTTTTTTCTTGCCTCAGCACAGCTAAAAGTTTCAAGTACCAGTTTGAGGACTTGAGTTTGATCCTCCAGAATTCATGTAGAAAGTCAGATGTGGTTTGTGCCTATAATCCCAGCACAGTGGAAATGGAGACAGGAGGAGTCCTACGGCTTTCTGGCCAGCCAATGTAGCCGAATCAGTGAGCTCCAGGTTCAGTGAGAGTCCCTGTCTCAAAAAATTAGATGTAGAGCAATCGAAGAAAACACCTGGCCTCCACATGTGCGTGCACACACACACACACACACACACACACACACACAAATATGTACACATACAAATTTCAAGTGCTAATGTATTCCATAGCCTAGGAGGAAGCCTCCATTCTTTGAAAAGATGTTGGAACAGGAAAAGGCTCTAGGCAAAGAAAATCAGGAGGACAATAGATGCAAAACTACCTGCTAAGCTAATACAGTTACCACTATTGGGCAATATTCATGCAATCCTGCTTCTTAGATTTCAGTTGATTCGTACTGGTGCTATGAAAGACTTATACACATTGCATTATTTGCATAGATTTGAATCTAATGGACTTTTACATAAGAAGTGTTTTGTCACACTTGTATGAACACAAACACTGTTGAAATTATCATCATCTTCAGGTTATGCACTTTTGAACACTGGTTTGACTTTTAGTGTTTATTTATAATTTTTCTTGCATCTCACACATTTATGTAATGAATTGTACTCATTCACATCCCTTCCACTTCCCCCTCTGATCACTTTCCCACTGCACTCACTCCTTTTCAACAAATCCCTGTCATACTTTCATGTCAGTTATCACTTATTAGGTACACTACTGCAAACTCTACAGAGTAATTATAACATTTCAAAAGTATATAACCCTTGTGTGAACAACAGCATTGGATGGCAGTTAAATGCAGTCATCAACAAACTACAGCCCAGTGTTCAACTCTGGGCCCCTGCCAACTTCCATAAATGAAGTTCTATTGGTCCTCTGTCACACCAAATTTGTATATAGATTTTCTATGGCTGCCTTCCCAAAATACCACTATAACAGATCCAGGCTGAGTACTTGGAACAAAAAATTTCTGGCATATAAAAGCAAAACATTAACTTTCTTGACCTTTATTTGTGACTCCTGCTTAAGAAGTCCCTTGATTATAAAGTTCCTGACAGTCATCTGTGAGTTTTATGACTTTGGCCCCACACCTTAGTCACCTAACCTGTAAAATGAGAATGAAATAATCTACCTTTTTTTGAGACAAGGTCTCATGTAGCCCATGATATCTTTGAACTCACTATATATAGTGCTCATCTTGCCTCTACCTCCTGAATACTAGGTTACAGTCATGTACCACCATTCTAGACTCTCATAGTGCTGGGGAAAGAAATACAGAACAGACTTTGACCCAGCCTACAGCTTGAAGCATAAATGTAGTTGAGATTAGCCTTTATCAGCTAACCCACAAATATAAATGTCCACTAGCAATAGTAAATGGCTATTGTTAGAAGCCACAGTGAATTTTGGGATGTTTGTTATACAGCATTATTGTAAAGAATCTTGCTGATATAGCCCTTCTGCATTTAATTCTTCTGAATGGATGCTGGTACAGATTGATGTCCTTAACAAAGTACACAATAAGATAAGCCTTCTTATGGCTGGAGGACAATAGACAGAAGCTGCCTACCATGTGCTTCCACTTATGACCACTTCCCAGTAATGTCGGCCACTGTCAATGAATACATTTCCAGCCACTCCATAGCTCCCTTGGCTGGTGAAGCGTTCTGGTGTGTGACTCTTTTTGGATGATGACTCATCACGCTCTACAGTCAGGTTGTCGTGGGACACTTTCAATTTTCGATGAGCAGATTTGGGATCCAGTTTAAATGGCTGGCCTGGAAACAAGTTCACAAAACAGAAAGAGCAAATGAAAAATCACTATATACTGGAACATGACCAATGGTACATCTTCATAGCCAGATTTAAAAGTCTGAAACAAGCCAACACTCTCTGAGCCATGTTCCTGATCCCAAAACCATATCGTATATCTTCATAGTAATTTAACCTTTAAAAACAACTTATAAAGATACTTGTTTACAGTTTTCAGGATTTGAAGATATAATTAAGGAATAGGAACTCTGTCTGTCGTACAAGGTATAGTACAAATGAGTAAGAACATGGTCATATGTTCTTGAGATTCTAATCTATTGGCTAGAGAGGGAGATAGTATTGTTATACTAACTGGTCCACAACAGAATAGGCAAGGGTTAACCAAAATGCATGATAAGGGCTATCTTGAGGATTCTAGCCTGGAGGACATTCTGGAAAGGAAGAGAAAATGAAGAGCTTATTTTCAACTATGGCATATTTAATCAGGCATAAACTATATGCATGCTCAATAGACTTCAGAGCAGAAGCCAAACAAATCAACTCATAACATGAAGACTATTCTAAATATGTTTTAACATGTTTAGGATTTGTCTTCTGTGTATGAGTGTTTGTCTGCAAGTATGTAAGCACATCCATGTTATGCAATGCTCACAGAGTCCAGAAGAGGGGATCAGATCCTCTGGAATTGGAGTTATGGACAATTGTTATCAACCATGTGGGTGCTGGGAACCACACCCAAATCCTCTATGACAGCAGCCAGTGCTCTTAAGCCCCAAGCCATCTTTCTAGACTCTATTCTAAACACTTAAATGCATTATTTTGAGGTTAGTAAAAGTAAATGAACTACTCTAAGCACAAGAATGACTATAGATTCATTTAAAAAAAATTGAGCTCACAAAACCAGGGAAAATATGATAGCAATGTCTAGGTTTTCTGCCCCTTGATTTATTCAAATATGTACAATAAATAAGGTTGTCTGTTTCATTATTCACCCTTGTGATTTGAAACTTTCACTATTAGAAAATCTTGGCAGAGTCATATGTAGACATTTTGATCTAGATGTTACTTCTTTGACAGTTCAGTATTGGTCACTCAACATCGTGTAGGGTACAAGACATTTAAAGGCAGGAAACACATTACAACTTGATGGTCATACAAGTGGCAAACTTTATAGAAGTGTTGCAGCTGAGAGAGCCCATTTGCCCAGTATGTAGCCCCCAGGCAATCATAGAAAAATGTTTGGTAAATATGACTGTAAGAAATTCGTGTTTGGGGCCTGGAGACATGCTTAGCAGTTAAGAGCATTGACTGCTCTTGCAGAGAACCCAGGTTTGATTCCCAGCACCCACATGGCACCTAACAACCATTCGTTAACTCCAGCTCCAGGGGATCAGATGCCCTCTTCTGACATCGGTGGGCATTGTAGGACACAGGTGCACTTACATACATGCAGGCAATACACTCATACACATAAAAATAATAAAATAAAAAATACATGTTTGGGATGGAGAAACCAACCGAGGGATTATGGGACACTATATCTCTGTCACATATAGGGGATGCTGCTTGGATCGAAACCAAATACCAGCACCGCAAAAATTCATGCTTTTATGTTATTGAGCAGCACACTTTTTTTCTGTCAAAGATCAGAGAATAAACATTTTCAGCTACGTAGGTCATGTTTTTTTCTTTTGTGAGTATTCAATTCTGTTATTGCAGTGAGGAAGTAACCACAAATAGATAAAAGTATGTAAATGGTTGTATGCCAATAAAACTTTATTTACAAAAATAGGGAGCAAGATTTGGCTCTTGAACTATAGTTTGCTGATCCTTGTTCTGCATTTCTGCCAATATCAAAGAAAAGCTTAAAAAGTGGAGGTGAAAAAATCCTCAGGTCCTGTGGAGGGAGTGGGGACTCTATGAGTCTGTATGATCTACTGGATTACACATACAGTTTAAAATTTAAAGTTTAAATAGTAAAGTCTTCATGGAAAACTATGCTAGCAACTGTTAGGGATAAGCTATAGAGTTGAATCAGAAAATGATAAAGATATTTTTCTTAAAATAGTTCACATTTTATTTTTTATTTTAAAAATAGTTTATTACTTTTATATGTATGAGTGTATTTCCTACGTGTATAAGTGGACTCGTGTTGTGCAGTGCCCTCAGAGGTCAGAAGAATTCGTCAGATCCCCTGGCACTGGAGTTATGGATGGTTGTTAGCCACTATGTGGGTGCTGGGAATAGAACCTGGGTCCTCTGTAAGAATAGTCAGTGTCCTTAACCACTGAGCCATCTTTCCAGCCCACCCTTTTAAAGGCAAAAGATAAATGTGAATAAAAATAATTGGATGCTAATGGGCAGAGGAGGAAGAAATTCCATCATGGAGCTAGCTCATCTTTTATGAAGATCTGAGTGCTGCTTGGCCTCCTGCCAGTGAGTAATAGCAGAATGTTCAGAGAAATCGGGGCTGTAATGGGAAGGAACTGCCTACAATGTCCTACCTGCCTTGGCGCCCCCTCTCAGTCACTCACATACACAGCAGGGGCCCGCCAGCTTCACTGGGCTCAAGCCCTGGTTTCCCACTGAGGAAATTTTTCCAGGGCAGCAAAAGCGTTTCCAAAAAAACCACTGCCCACTCCTTTCAACTTCCAGACTTTGGCCTCACCGGGGACAAATTAGCTTGCGAAGGAAATGAACAGTTGCTTTACTAAACAATTTAATTCATCAGACAGTTCGTGTAGAGATGACCCTATTCTGGCTACTGCTGTAGTGCAATAACCTCTCAACAGTTTTCCCAGGTGTCAGGCTCGCTTTTATTTGTAATGCACTCACCACGTCATAGCGTCATTTTTTTTCTTTCAAATCCTCAGTCACGCTCTACTTTCCCCTATGTAACCCTGCTCTTCAAAAACCAGCTACTTATCGTGGGTTCAGGATTCTCTCTCTCTCTCTCTCTCTCTCTCTCTCTCTGTATGTATGTGTGCATGCATGCACAGGCACTCAGACTAGTCAAGTACTCTACTACTGAATTACATCGCCAGCCATTTTTTTTTTTTTTTTTGCTTTTTATTTTGAGACAAGATCTCACTAATTTGCTCAGACTGGCTTTAAAACTCACTGTGTAGATGAAACTGGCCTTGAATTTTGGATCACCCTGTGCGGAAGATTACAGGCCTGTGGGAACAGGCATAGCTAGCTTTTTCCCCCCAACACTTTTTTCCTGTAGTACTTCAGATCAAGCTCAGGGTGTTGTCTCACTAGCTACCTCAGGCTGGTCAGAAACTTGGTGTCCTGCTTCAGCCTTCTGAGTTCTGGGATAATAGCTCTGCACCGCTGTACCTATGTTTACAAACAGGTTTTTGTCTTTAGTTTCCTAGCTTGTCCATCCTCTCAACTTAAGCCTTCCTTGCTGATCACTTTTCTGCTCCACAAACATGATCTTTTTTCTGGGCCTTTGCATGTGCTGTTCCATCCACATGGAACAATGCTTCTTCCATCCCCTAATCATACCTCGCCGTGAAGCAATACAAAAGCTGTATAGGAATATACTCTTTTGAAAATCCAGAAGTATCATGAGTTACTTCCATGACAGCTTTCACAAATGGAATGACCACTAAGGTCTAGCATGCTTTCTTCCCTGACAGTCCCCAAACTCCTTGAGAGAAGCACTGCTGAAGGAGTTGAATGTGGTCACAGTATCCTCAGCATGTTGTACAGCATCCCAACTCACTGGGAGATGCAGCAGTTTTGTAGGGACCAAAAACATGTTCGAATGCAAATAAAAACCTATTGAGCTGAGTGTGCATGGGACTGTTGCCATGTGCCATGTGGTTTTAGCAAAGCGTTGCATATTAGACTTCCTTATGTTCTCAGATGTTTTTCCAGTTTATCTTTGGGACAGTTTATAAATGATGCTAACTATTCCTATTTTACAAGTTAAGGATGACTAAATGCATTGTGAGGTCTTAGACTGGACCCTGGGACAGGAACTGAATAGTAGAGAGTATACTGGTAAAATCTGAATAAAGCTTAGATTTTAGCCAAAAGGAATGTACCATGTTAATTTCTTAGTTGAGACAAAGGTTTCAAAGATTATGTAAGATGTTGACATTAAGAGAAGCTGGGTAAAGGTATACAGAACTCTCTGTAATGGCTATAAGTTTTCTGTGAATCTATCCTTATTACAAAATAAAATGGTTTTATTTAAGAAAATGTAAAGAAATTAGCCACACGACCACATGAATACCATGTGGCAGAACAGAACCTCGGTTTCCTCATGCTTAATATGATGCTCTTCTTCTACCCTTTGCTGGCCCTCTACAACCAACACATGTTGTACAATGCCCTGGGGAATCAAAGATATGGTTAAATGAGAGTACCCCCTTGAAAAGTCATTATTTGTTTCTGTTGACTGGCAAACTCATGACATGGCACCATATTGACATAATATATTTCTACATCAAAAAGATGTAAAGTAAGAGGCGAGGGTAAATCAAAACACATGAAGACAGTGACACAGAGATGACAGACCCATGAGATGCAAAGACAGGCTGCATCGAAGTTTGAGATGAGGGCTTTCCTGTGTATTACGGATGCTTCCTATGCCTGTTTTCTACTTACTCTCTTGATGCCAGAAGTACCATTGCCAGTTGTGATAACCAAAAATATCCAAAAGGTCTTTAGACAGTATTAAATGTCACATGGGCAATGATTGTAGGAAAAAAGGTACCATTGTCTCCGATTGAAAACTATACACCCAATCAGCAGCTTGGGATAAAATGATTTCTCAAGAAGGTGTTATTAATGTGTTTTCTGCTATAGAAAAAATACTGGGGCTGGAAGATGGCTTAGCCATTAAGGGCACTGACTACTCTTGCAGAGGACTGGGGTTCAATTCCCAGCACCCACATGGCAGCTATCAACTGTCTGTAACTCCAGTTCCGGAGGATCTGACTCCCTCTTCTGACCTCCGCAGGCTTTGCATGGCACGGGTTCAGTAACATAGATGCAGGCAATGCATTCATATAAAGTAAAAATAACGAATAAAAAAATTTCGAAAAAGAAAGAATGCTATCTACCATGTACAGAGCCCTTATCCTCTACATATACCTGTTCTGTTTCTCACAAGAACTCTTCCAGAATTATTTACTTAAGAAATTAGAACAATGATGTGTGAAGAAGTTAAAGAAGCCTAGAAGTCAGAAAATCAGCTTTAAAACTCAGAGGTAGCTGCTAAAACTCCCAGTATTCTATACTAGCCCTTTAATTGCTTTTTCTGTGGCTATCAGTGGTGCCTTAGTCAGAGAAGGAAAAAGAAAAAAAAAGTGGGGAGGAGAGAGTTAGCCAAAAGTTGAGCAATGCAAGATGAACTCCATCGAGTTCACAGCACTTACTGTTTGTCTTCAACTTTCCAGGCTCACTGCTGCGGCTGCCTGCCTGGTTGATGGCCTTGACCATGAAGATGTACTTAGTGCCACTTTGCAGACCATGCACGGTGTAGTGGTTCTGCTTGATATTGGGCACAATCATCCAGCTATCGGCTGAGTTACACAGACCTGCAAAACCAACCAGATGGGTGCAAGTGCAAGCAATGTTTGCAGAATATTAGGTTATTGGAACTGTAAACATTAGGATGTGAAGTAGTTTCTCACTTTTTATACAGGATAACCAATAATATAGTGCTCAGAATCCTGCCTCTTGCAAGAGATCAATCTGTATTGTAGGTTTTCCTTGAGTATTCTGTCTGGACAAGACCCTTAAAACTCTGGTCTTTGTGAATAGGTGCAACAAAGGTGTTTTTTTCCTGGGCTTTTATGCACTGACCATGCACATGATGTGTTATTAAGTGCTGTGAAGAAAAAACAAAAGCAACCACTGATTGTTCCCCCATCATCTCACCCCTCTTGCATTACACTGGTGATTCCAGCTTGGATTTCATGAACTCTGAGACTCACAGATGAGGAGATCCAAACCATGCATTAGAAGCTGGCCTCATCAACACAAGCATAGTAGATTACATTTTGTCTCCAATTCTCCTGCTCTATATTCAAGCCAAAGTAGCTTTGCACCTGCTCCCTCTAGAAAGATCGGGTATATTGCCTTACCATATGACTTTGGGCTTGGTCATGTGACTTACTAAGTGAATGCCTGAGGCCCAAATGACAGTGTATTTGTTGCTGTTGAGCCTCTGTTTCTCTGCAATTGACAGGAGGTGCAACATTTTTTGACCAGTCTCATTCCAACAGATGAGACACAGGGGGCATCCTTAGTTCAATGCAGCAGTAAACCTAGCATGGGTTAGCCCAGTCCAAACAACCTCTGATGGCAGAGTTATAGAAATGATCTTTAGGGTATTAGTGGAGATTCAGAAGATATTCATAAGGGAACCTGCAGCAGCAGCATCTATGGGTGGCTTGGGGCCCAGTGTGGATACTGGGAAACAGGGCGTTTTGATCAGCTGCTGCCCTGGGAATGCCTGGTTCCAGACTGGAACAGTCCTGATCCCCTGGCTCCACTCTGCAGGATGTGGGCTGAGGAACAGGCCAAGGATTTATGAGGCTTGGAAGAACAAAGGAAAAAGGAAGTCCATTTTGTTTTGCAGCTGGCTGATGCTAGAAACATCTTTTTGGTGTCAGGCCCAAGTCTCCTCTCTCCACCCATCAATCTCCCCTCCAATAGAACCTTTTTCCATCTCCCTGGTGACTGGCTGTCATGAAGTTTCCTTTCTCTGTTGAGTTTTCTTCACTAGTCCCTGGGAGAGACCCAGATCCTTCACTTCCTGAAGGGCTCCAAACTCACCTCCCCTCTCCTTCTTTTTAGGTTTATTTGCAAGTCAAAGAGTTAGATCTTTTGATCTTGAGGCAATTTATGCCTAACTGAATGCTCAAGAAGCAGTTCCTGAATCTTTTTGTGGTCTCAGCCTTCTGAGAATCTACTAAAACCTTTCTATGAGAAGAAATTCACAAATGCACATCTGCACCAAGCCACAAATACTTGCATAGCATTGCAAGGTAGTCACAGGCTCCCCAAAGTCTGTCTTTGAATTGTACTATATGTTTTCTCTGACTTCTGAGTTAAAAAATTCCTCCTGGTATCATCATAGATGAGAATTCCCTTTGAAAAATTGTCTGATTTGAAATTGCACTTCACATGCTTTGTATCTTTCTTGTGTATGTACCTATGTGTGGTGTGCATGTGTATGTATTCATACTTGTGTGTGTGTGTGTGTGTGTGTGTGTGTGTGTGTGTATGCCAGTGGTTGACATCAGGTGCCTTCCTTGATTGTTCTCTATTAAAGCAGGGTCTTTAATGGAACTGGAGCTTCTCACAAGTCTGAATACTTAGCTTGACCTGTGGATCCCATCTCTATTTCCTGAATGCTGAGATTACAGGTGGTCAATACAACTTTTTTAAATTTATGAAGGATCTGGAGATCTGAAATCTGGTCATGCTTGTGCAGCAAGTGCTTTATCCACTGAACCATCTCCCCAGCCCTACATGATTTCTGTCTTGACTGTACAGCGTTTTCAGGTACACTCCAGTGAATTATTTCGCCTTGTGAATACTGTGATGTTGTTTTCATTTCTACATGTGACCATTTTCATCACAAGACCTTGAAACTTGAAAAAATAAGCATAAGGCAATGAATTAATTTGAGACTCACAGGAGAGTTGGAGTATATGGGAGTGTGAGTTTCATAATAGAGTAGAGACATCATCCTCTTCTTATTCCCCAAGTTTTTGTAATGCTGAGCCCTATGTTCTCTCTTCCCAAGTCTTCCTTAGGCAAAACCCAGAAAATACCCTCAGATACTATAGTAACAAAGAAAATTTCCTATTGTATGTGCCTTTGGATCCTTTCTCTCTATAACTTTTCTAGAACTTGTGGCTATAATAAACCCCATATTTCTGAAGCCTGCTACAGCCAAATATTAGATTTTGATATGACCAATGTAGGGTCGTTTTGGACTCTGAGTTCCATGCTCCAAGAAGCCTACAATTTACTTTAAGGTATTGAATAATATTATTACAATAGTAATAAAATGAAAATTAGCTTTTGTATTGCCTAAGATAATCCACTCATATCTTAGATCTTTGTCAACAGCAGTCAAGTATTAATGGTAAACAGTAACAGCATTCAGCAGATTTAAATGAGAATCCTATCCATTTGAGTCCTTTTACATTGTTCCTGTTTAATTGTCCATGCTACGGTGACATTTCTGCATGGTCAAAGAAAGAAAATGTTAAAATATTTTAATAAACTTTCATTTAAAAATCACTGCACAAACCTAAAGACAGTTTTGATGTACTGGGGCATGCTTTTAGCAACATGATAAAGCAGATGTCTAAAATTGCTATAAACTGCCACTTAGTTTCCAACCCCAAATCTTAACAAAGATGTAATATTTCAGAAATATTTTCTAAACAGCAACAAAGAAGGGGACTCTGACTATATTAATTATTTTGAAGAGGTCACTAAATTTTTCCTTCACTATTAAAAGAAAAAAATACTTAAAGAGTAGTAAAAGTATATTTGGCGGCTTTACACTGAGCAGTTCAAAAATACTAACCATTTGCTCTTACTTTATTTTTATTATTATTATTATTTATTATCAATATAATCAATGAGAAGTTGATTTTAAATGCCAAGAAAATAACACTGACAATTTTCTTTAGGGTCATGGATATAAGTGGGTGGCTTGAAGGGCACCTTTACTTTGTTGCTAATTTTGTATTACGTCGGTCTATACTACCTAAATTCTTACAATAACATACCATGCAGAATTTGCTCAAGCAATATTTGGTCGCCTTGACATTCCACTGTGCCAAGACTTGTGGGCAGGTTTGATTCTTCTGCTTATGGAACACCTATGTAACTATCCCGATTGAAACTTCATTTCTTCCAAAATTGTCTGAGTGCTCCACTTGTTCACACACTCCAACTCAGCTAAAGGTATTAAAACAACAATGGCAGTAGAAGACCATTTGCTCATGATGAAGTATAATTGAGTTTTTGAGTTCATAATTATTTTCATTAATAATTAGACAGAAACAGTTATTTCATAACATATCTTATTAAAATATTTTAATTACATTGGGGATTTCAGAGCCTTGCATGCCAACTGACACTTTGTTGCAAAACATCTTGCAATGTGGACACACTTTGGAGAGGTTATTCTTCAATTTCTAAAGTTCCTTATCTTTTCTAACACACTAGACAGAAGTGAGCTACCTTTTCCTTCTTCCCTTTAAAATACTATATGGTTTACTATTATTATTATTATTTGCATATGTATTGGCTGCATGTGTGTAAGTGCACCTTTGTTGTTTAGTGCCCACAGAGATCAGAAGAGGGCGTCAGATCCCCTAGAACTGGAGTTATAGTCATTGTTAGCTGCCATGTGGGTGCTGGGAGTCGAACTGGGGTCCTCTGCAAGAGCAGCCAGTGCTCTTGACTGCTGACCCCTCTCCAGCTTCAATAATATTATGTTTAATAACTTTATTGAATATTTTCCCAATGAATAACTAGCATACAATTAACTGTTCATAACGATGGCGTCAAGAAACATGGCTTCTGTTTGCTTTGCAAATAATAGGAATGGTGTGTTCGCAACAGGACCCAACTTGAGATTTTAAATAAAATTAAAAATAGTTTGGTGGCTGGAGAGAAGATTCAGTAGTTAAGAGAACTGGATGCTCTTGCAGAGGACCCAGGTTCGAGTCCCAGCACCCACATGGCAGTTATCAACTGTCTGTAACTCCAGTTCCAGGGAATCCAATGCCTTTTTCTGAACTCTTTGGGCATTGTGGGACATGGGTGCATTAACACACATGCAGGTAATACACTCATACCCTAAAATAAAATTAATAAAAAAACTTTTAAGTACTTTGGGAAAAAAACATGGGAAACATTGTAAATTAAATACATATTTATGTGCTAATAAGCAATTTATTAGCATATGTAGTCATAATTTTATCAACAAAATGAAAAATTTTAAAAGTAGTGTCATTAATTTTGCATTTAGATATGTACATTTGTGAGAATCTTCATGTGATTAAATAAACTTCATAGACATCTAATTCTCCCTCATTAGAGTCAATTGAAGGTCTTTAACTATGATTTATTAATATGAAAAGTGAAAGAACCATGACCTAGAGACAGTAAGAGATTGCCTAGTGGCAGATTTTGAAAATATCATCCAATATTTGGTAGAGTTTCAACATTAGATCTTGTTGTTCTATAAAACATATGAAAAGGATAAGGATATTCCCTCAAATGACAGGATGGATGGGCTAACAGCATTCAAGAAGAGCCTTTCATGTAGAGACTGTGTGAGAAGGTATCATGAAGACGATCTTGGCAAATTATATGTGTTTTTTATTACATGACATAGCCATCAGCCTTCCTTTAAAAATGCAGATTTCTTGCCAATTTTGTTTAATGGGTCTTTTAGTAGCTACACATTAAGAGAGGTCCATAGCTCTCATTAAACATTTTGCATTTATTTTCTCATAGTAACTAATTTCTGGAAACAAAATCCCTTCCCTGGAATGATCCAATATAAAGTTCTGAGCCTGTTATGACCACTAGTTTAGCTCTTGTTGCATTTCTTTGTGCAATATCTAAGCCATGGATGCATCCTGGATTGGTAGTCTGTGTCATATACTACCAGTGGTAAATTAAGCCATAGCTCAGTCAGCTGAGATACCCTATATTCAAAAAAATGAATCCCTTTCAATCTGAGGATAAAGTGGCATGTTGACATTGACTTAGGGATCTTGAGGAGATCGCTGACTTAGGGATCTTGAGGAGATCGCTTCTGACCCCCATTCCTTATTTGTCATTGTATCAATGCCCTTTGCCCTGGCAATTTTAGGACCTCTCTCCATTTCTCATTCTGAGATTTGCTTTGGAGAAGGTTCATATAACAGACAGAAAGAGGAGAAGCATATATATAGTTGGATGTAATGTTATACTCTCACAGACTGAACTGGGTTGCAGAAGACACCCAGAAACCATGGAATTATCTAGTTATACTGACAAGACTCTAGAAGTCAACTGTTCATTGAATTTCTAGATGAATATACATTTCAGCCTGCACTTTGATTTAGGTCTTATGAAACTCTAAGAGGAAGATGTGGGTTAACCCATAGAAACTGAAATAATAAATTATGTTGTTTTAAGTTGTTAAGTTTGGGGAAATTTATTTCCCAACACAAAACTGAAATCATTTTTTCCTAATCTGAGCAGAAACGATTTCAGAGAAAGAGCATTCTTCACACGATCAAGAATGCCCTATTAGTATACAGTGACTCCAAGTGTTTCCTTTCCCATCCTTTGGGCAGCTTTTGAGTTTCATCTTTAATTTTCATACAACCTCTAACATAGCTTACCTATTACACTAGTAATATACTACAATATTGAGAAAGCAATTGCTTAAATGAAGACAGAGGTATTTGTCACTTTCCCTCTCCTGATGTTTTCCTTTCCTTACCATAGTGCAGAAGTTTGTGAGCCAATATGTTATGGGTTCCACATTAGTTAAGTTAGGCCTTGGATTTATTATGCAATCATATAGATGATGTATGTATACCTTGCTTGAAATTAGAGTTCTCATGTTCAGTTTATGGCATACATGTCCAAGATGAGTGAAAGAGAAGCTCCTACAGCTGTTCAAATGCATTTTAAACACCACATGTCACCTCTCTGAAGGGCAATTTGCCAATGCCAATCAAAATTAAAATGCAAATAATCTTTTCCTATCAATTACATCTCAAGAGATTATACTAGAAATATAATTTTGCATGCACAAGAAAGGAAATGTGCAGGGATATTCATTGGGGCAATTTTTTGCAGAGGCTGGAATAAAAGCTCAATGCTTATCAGTAGAAAATAGGGCAGGTAAATGAAGGCACAGTTTTGCAATAGGACAATATACTGCTTCAAGAAAAAAATGAGGCAACTCTTTATTTGTGTTGAAATAGAATGATTTCTTGTTACATTTACTAAAAAATTTAAGATCTGCATAAAATATGAACAAAAAGGGAATGTAGATAATTAGCATTTCTTCATGACATGCAGGGCCAGCTAGAATGGGAAAAGAATGAAATCCGATGAATTCACAATTTTGGATGCAGAGTGAAATGATATGGAACTATTGTCACAGCAGTGCTACTTAGACTTGTCTCAAAAGGCACTTAGACCATCTGAAGATCATGGTAACGTTATCTGGCAAAATGAACCAGAGGCAGAGTATTCTTTCCAGAAGTGTCATTCCCATTTCCTCTCGGCCCTGAGTGCCATTTGCAAGCCCTGTCTGTTCATATAGCTCAGTGAATTCTTTTTATTTTATTTTATTTTATTTATTTATTATTGTTATTTTGTTTATATATGCATGCATTGCCTTCATGTAGATAAGTGCACCCATGTCGTGCAATGCCCAAGGAGAACAGAAAAGGCTGTTCGATCCCTTGGAACTGGAGTTACGGACAGTTGTTTGCTGTCATGTGGGTACTGGGATTCGAACCCAGGTTTTCTGCAAGAACAATCAGTGTTCTTTACTGATGAGCCATCTCTCCAGCCCCTTACTTTTATTTTATGTGTGTGAGTGTATTGCCTGCATGTGTGTAAGTGCATCCGTCTCATGCAGTGCCCACAGAGGTCAGAAGAAGGCATTGGGTTCCCATGGAACTGGAGTTATGGATGGTTGTTAGCTGTAATGTGGGTGCTGGGAATTCAATCCAGGTCCTCTGTAAGAGCAGTCAGTATTCTTAACTACTGAGCCATTTCTCCAGCCCCACCTCAGTGAATTCTTACGATGAGCTTCCTTGTTTCTGTCTCAGAGCTGCTCTATTCCTCCCCACCCTCCAGAGTGCCTGCAGGCCACCTTTAGCTGGTCCACCTAGGTACACACTACTGCTTAGCATGGCTCACCAACATAAAATCCAAAGATAGGTTGTCTAGCTCTTGCCTGCAAGCTGGGCTTAAGTGACTGATAATTGAGAACACTGTGATTTCTGAAGCCAACTAGATACAGGTTGGGGCCATTGTTCCCCTTCCTCACTGAATTCTTCAGCCAGGCATCATAGACCAACTTTCTTCCAAGACATTTTGGTTGCATCTGGTTTTGCCCCTGCTCTACCCCCTATCTATTCAGCCTCCTCTTTATGCCCTACCTACTCAGCAGTTTGCCAAAACTGACCTTGACATACATTTCCAGAAATTCTTTCTTCCACTCAGAAAATACACGTTCTTGGAAAATCCCAAGAATTTAACGAATGCTTCCAAGGCAAACCAATTAGGGGGAGGAAGGTAGGGGGGAAGGAGGGAGGGAAGGAGGGAGGGAGGGAGGGAGAGAGAGAGACTTGTGGTGAGGAAGTATAGTGGCTGTAACGGAGACGAGGAAGCCACTGGTTTGTGCGGGCCATCTGCACTTGTCGCTTTGAAGTTCATGTTTTGTGTTGCTCTTATAATTAATCCTCAAATTTCTATTTTAGGCATCACATACCTCAAAACTACTTGTACTAGGAAAGAACAGTGTACTTAAGAGAAAAAAAAAGGTTTGTATTTTTAAAAGGCACATTAAATTGATTTGGGTTCATTCAGAATATCTGTTGAAAAATGATTGCTTAGGGGGGAAGGAGGGAGGGAAGGAGGGAGGGAGGGAGGGAGAGAGAGAGACTTGTGGTGAGGAAGTATAGTGGCTGTAACGGAGACGAGGAAGCCACTGGTTTGTGCGGGCCATCTGCACTTGTCGCTTTGAAGTTCATGTTTTGTGTTGCTCTTATAATTAATCCTCAAATTTCTATTTTAGGCATCACATACCTCAAAACTACTTGTACTAGGAAAGAACAGTGTACTTAAGAGAAAAAAAAAGGTTTGTATTTTTAAAAGGCACATTAAATTGATTTGGGTTCATTCAGAATATCTCTGTTGAAAAATGATTGCTATTATATTCTACTTTGACATATTCCATATTTTCATTACTAAAGAAGCTTCAAACATGCTCTCCTGAAAAGCTATGTCCTCTAGCCCTTTGCCAGTTGCTCACTTCACTTTAAGTAACTGTTCTCACCTTCATGTTTGAGATCATCAAATTATTCATGATGTCAAATGTCAAATCAGCCTCAGTGACAGAGGGGCCTCTCTGAACTTCAGGTAAACCTAGAATTTCTTCTTAGGAGATGTTAGTTGCTAACATTTGAAGTGTCAGCCCTAAACTACCTCTGAATGGGACCAGGTGTTCAGAATTCTTTAGCTATGCATTTGACTGAATCCTTTCTTTACAAAACTGTGAAACAACATTTAAAAAATGCATGAAATTAAATGCATGATATATGAGTAAAGAATATGCCTACCACCCAGAAAGGGCTATGAATACTGTGAATACTCATATATTTTGTATGTATGTATGGGTGGGGGGCCATATATGTTTTTGTGTGTGTGTACATGGTTGCATGTGTGTAGAGCCAGAGGTCAACCCTGGGTGTCTTCCTTTACTGGTCTAAAATGTCTTTTTGAAACAGGGCATCTACTGAAGCTGGGACTTGCTGATGTGGTCCTGTTGGCTCACCACTGAACTCCGATAAGTCTCTTGTCTCTACCCTTTCCCTGTACTGGGATTACAGGCCCATACCACCACACCTGGCTTTTTAACGTGAGAGTTAGGGACGTAAACTCAAGTCCTCATACTTGCACTTTCCCTGACTGAGCCATCTCACCAGCTTCCCCCATATATTTCTTGCAGGTGACACCTTTCTCCCTTGCATTCAAGAGATAACTAACATCCTGATTAGTAGTTATAATTTTAGTACCCAAGAATGCATCTTTAAACAAAAACTGGTTATTTTGATCTTTAAGTTATGAATCAATAAATGAATTCACACTGCATATATTGTTTCCAGCTTCTTTCCTCATATAGTACGTCTGTGAGATTCATCCCCGTGGTCTGCCACAGGGCATTAATTTCATTGATAGTTCACCAGATATTTTCACTCGTGCAACATAAGTGAGCACTATTCTTTGGGCAAGAAAGAGAACCAAAAAATATTGTATGTTGTTTTCCTTCCTCACTTCGTTTTGCTGTTTGTGTTCAATCTGTCTGAAAACAAGTCATCACATCAAGTAGTAAATAGGCCATGGAATACTCACTAACGACATTGGCTTGTCCGGTGAATATAGTGTACTGGAGCTCATAGGAGACCACACTGAACTCATCGTCCGAGGTCCAGTGGACCGTGATGGTGTCATATGAAGCTGTGCAGAGCTCTTCTCTAATTGTGGGAGGGTTGGGAGCTGTGGGCATCAAGAATAATCATTAGAGGAGTAGCAAACGGTACTGGGATACCATCTTTGAGATGTTTAACTGTTAAAGTAAGTATTTATAAATATGGTTAATCAGGATTACCGTTCTAGAGACAGGGATCTTTGTGCACAAAATATTTAGGTGACTGCTTATGACAGTCATTTATTTTTAATATTTTATTCTTTTTATTTTTTATGTGCATGAATGTATTGTCTGAATATATGTAAGTGTACCCATGTCATACAATGCCTGTGGTGAACAGAAGAGGGTATCGGATACCCTGGAAGTGGAATTATGGACAGTTGTTTGCTGTCGTGTAGGTACTGGGAATTGAACCAGGGTCCTCTGCAACAACAGTCACTGCTCTTAACTGCTGAGCCATCTCTCCATCCCTAATGATGTTTATCTTTTGCAAGCAGTGTGGCTACAGCCAGCTAGTATGGCTTTATCAGTTTATCATGAGAATATACCTATGAAGGAGATTAAGGAAACAGTAGTCTCTTGTGTGTGAAGAAAAAGATGTTAAAGAAAAATATCCAAGGCAAACTTTCATAATTTTATTCACTTGGGGGGGTTGGAAAACTTTTCCAATAAAAGGCAGGATGGTAAAACGTTTAGGTGTTGTACAACAGATTATTGCCCTCACAATTACTTGTGACCCTGGCATTGTGGCATGAGAGCAGCTGTAGACAGTTTGCACATAATGAATACAGCCAGATTCGTAAAAAAGTAACTTTATTTACAAAATAATCAGAGCGTCAAATTTTCCTAGAAATCAAACTTTGTCAGCTATTGATCTACATGTGACCAGATATTTGAAAAAGTACCATTGTTATTCCACAGAAAACCAACTAAATGATTGACATTTCCTTCAATTATTTTGACGCGTTGTTAAAAATTATTAGTGTAGCCCTATTTTCTTCTTTCCATTTTTTGCTCTGTAGGTGATATTTTTAATAAAGGAAACCATGACTAACAATCATCTCTTAGAAATACATTTTCATTCTCTAAGGATATCATGATTCCTCAGCATTTGGTTAACTTTATTATTACAGAAGTCTGTCGTTTTATTTATTTGACAGCAAAGAAGTCTAAATGTTACCAAAACAATGACTTCTAATTCACTTCCACTGTATTAATTAGAATAACTGATTATGTGGTTAGAATATATAAGGAAAAAAATAGTAGGCAGTAAGTGTTTTAATATTTTAGAGCAGAGGTTAGCAAACTACAGATTTTTTTTTTTTTTTTGGGCTTTGAACCAGTGTCTCCCTATAGCCCACGCTGTCCTGGAATTCACTATGTAGACCAGGCTGGCCTTGAACTCATAGAGATCTGCCTGCCTCTGCCTCCCAAGTGCTGGGACTACAGGTGTGCGCCACCATGCCGGACTAACTACAGGAATTTTTATAAATAAAGTTTTATTGGAACACAGTCATGACTCATTAAGTTGCGCTTTGTCTGTCTATGGCTGTTTACATCCAACAGCAAAGTCAAGTAGTTGAGTCCATATGCTGGGAAAACCTAAGACATCTGCCTTCTGGCTGCTTTCAGTCAATGTTTGCCAACCTGTGGTTTAGAAAATTGATCTTCAGCTTTTCTTTCATTTGTTCCATATACAAGAGCTGAGCCTCAAAGGGGAAGAGTGTTCATTTGCATCCTGCATGTTTAGAACACCTTTAAATTACACCATTACAGAGTTCTTTTCTGTTCTAGATTAGGTTCGGATTAGAATTGGTGAATCTTAAAGAAACCCAAAGGGGAGAAGTTTATGGAAATGGTAAATTTAAAATTCTGTTTTAGTTATCTTCACTTTGTCACCTAAAAAGACATTTAGGACAAGTCATAATAAGTTTTGCCTCCTGTTGGCTATTAAATTTCACAGACTGTCCGTTAAGAATGAAGGGCTCATCTGGGTATGGTGGTATACAATCATAATCGCAACACCTGGAAAGCAGAGACTGGAAGACTGTGAGTAGGAGGCTAGTCTGGGCTATATAGGAGATTCTATTTCAAAATGACATTCATAAATAAGGAAAAACCAACAAAAAAGAAAATAGGAAAGAAATAAATGTTCTTCATAACCCTTCATGTGTTTTTCCTGAAATACGTGTTTGAACATCTGTCTCCTGAAGTGCCCACATGTGACATTTGGTACCATGTGGTGTGACTTGCATATGCATGAGTCAGTGACACCAATCAGGAGATGCATTCCACGCAGACCCAGCTGTGTCATAAAATGTGCTTGTTATTGTCTGTGTGGTCTCTGTTGTTGTGGGATTACCCTGCATGGATCAGTGAGGAAAATCTCCTACTTTCGTAATTTAAAATAGTTCATCACATTGTTTATGTATCAACCACTGTGAAAAGATTATGTTCTAGTCTACATGGCACTATCTGATTAAATAAAAAGAAACTGTAAGTTCAAAATAGGAAAGGAGCTGTGGCACACAGAGCAGTAGCAGCAATCAGGAAGGAAATGTCACCTCTTTGGGTTATTAACTTGACATACCACTTAGCGGCATGTCATAGGGAAAGAAAAAAAAAACTTGTTTGCACAGCCAGGCAGGCTAACCCTGTTTTGATTGTAAACCCAATGGGTTTGTCCTGCAAAGTCAATACCTAATTTACTGTAAATGAGAACTCCTGCATGCTGCCAATTTCAATACTCACACAATAAGTACCAGAACTGCTATTTTCTTGCCTTCATCACAAACACTACACAGGGAATGGTGGGCTAATACGCCACAAACACTTCGTTTCCTGCTTGTGAATGTCAGATAAACTATTTGGACTTGGCAGTATCAGCCAAGCGTTGTATGTTATGGCCAGGATTGATGTTATGTCTAGAAAGGGACTGAATTGGTATTGGTGGTTGACAGCTTAAAAGTCAAAATCTCAGGTGCCCGATATGGCCTTCAGTTTGTATAAATAGCCCTCATGATGATATATGGCCTACATATTATAATTCAGTGCAGGGCAGTTTCATAATTTTTCTTTTAGTCAATAATTTCCTATTACTATAGAATTTTTAAAGGACATTCAATTTTACATACTATTAAATAATTATGGGAAAAAGAAGACACATTGTTGATGAGAGACTGATTTGGTACAGCAAACCCACGTGCTTGGGCAAATATTTAATTTTCCATCTTCCTGTAACCTTGGGAATGATCTTATGTCATGGATCTGGTCCAAGAGTCATAAGTGGAACTTTGCTAGGTAGGTTGTTCAAGCAAAACTTCTGGTTTTATGGTAAACAAAGACAAACTTTCCTAGCCAAGCTTTTTGTCCATTATTTTCTCTCTGTGCTTTTTTTCCCCTAAAACCTAAGCACTATGCTTAGAGGTGTTGTACTGATGTTATGATTATGTCACAAAAAGACAGAAAAATGAAGATGTCAGAACAGGGAAGGAGAGTCTGGTATCTGAGACCAGAACTGAAGCACCACACAGCCCTGGTCCAGCCTCTACTTTGTTTTATTGTGATCCAAATAAACCTTGATGTTCCTAGTCATTGATAGTTACACTTTCTGTTGCTTCTCAGACGATAAACAAAAAGGAGATTTGAAAAAAGTGCCATGAAGAAAACCAGCTCAGCAAGAAGTCTAGACCTGCACTGTTCAATACAGTAGCTATGAGCTACATGTGGCTGTTGACTTTTTAATTCAAGTTAAAAAATAAATTTACTAGTCATATTTCAAATTTTCAATAGGTCCACTTGCTGATGGCTAATATATTGGTTAGAAACAGAATATCTCTAACATTGCGGAAAGTTCTACTAGATGGTATTAATTTAAACAAATCTCAGAATCAAAAACAAAAGAATGAACTCATCATAACCATAAATACTTGAGAAAAATATGGTTACTTACTGTAAATGCTTTGTGAATCGGATTCTTTCTAGTTTAATAGGAACAGTATATTTGAAAGAGAGAATTACATATGATGAGGAGAAATTTGTGGGATGACTGACTTTAATTGGAATTGCATAACAAAAGTTAAAGAGGCATCACAGACTCTACCAAAGAACCCAAAACATAAGAAGTATAGAACTCCTGGTTTTCTGTGCACAGAGTATATTTTTAAAAAATGCTACACAATGTTCCTTCTCTTTGGCTCCACCCTCCCCAACCACTCTTCCCCAAGCATGTGCAAACTGGGTAGAAGTTGAGAAACTGACACCATGCTTAGTTAGGAATGTAACTTCGGGAAAGTTCTGTGTCCGAAGTGTAGGACACATCTGGCTTCATTGTATACATGGTACTTTCCTGAAGTCACAGGTCTTGGTGGTTTTGGCTAGCACAAATAATGCTGTCTAAATAATCCACATTCTTTCTGCCAACCAATGTGCTCAGTTCCTGCTGTTGAGTCTCATGGAAAAAAAAAAAAAGATTTAGATTGACTATTAGGAATGGTAGGAGCATGAGTAGTCACAGTTTTTATTTTCCTCCAGTTTCTTTTCTTCGGGTAGAGAGAAGGAGGGTGGGAGGGAAGGATGAAGGAAGAAAGGGGAAAACAGGAAAAAAGGGAGGAAGAGAAAAAGCGACTAGACAGTATAGAATGGACACATTGCATTAGAAGTTCCAATGTGCTTTTTGTGATGTTTGCCAGGGGGGGTATTTGACAATGTGAAGTTCAGTTTTTCTTTAGAGCACGCAGGGGTCTTCACAGTTCATACAAACCTGACCTAGATCCTAATCCTGTTACACCCTTTCTATCTGACCTTCAGTAACTTGGCTGAAATCTGCCATTTCCAAAATGAAGATTGTGATGCTTTACCAAAATGTGTTATTATGGAGATTATGATATGGTCACAAATACAGAGAGGTATATACACCCAGGCAGTTGCCACATTTTCCTCCACTAATGTACTATGACAGTCAGATGACTCTCTAACATGAAATGAAAAGTACTCATGAAACCTTAAGTATCTCTCTGATGGCCTGCAGTGTTACCCCATACTGAGTGAGGAGAATGCTTTCAGCAATCGGGATGTTTTGTCCTTGTTGTTGTTCTTGAACCCCCAATTTACACAGTCTGTGTTGTTTTGAGTAAAAAATAATAGAGTACACACAGATCATTTATAGAAATATTAGTTATTATTTCAAAGTCAAACATACACACACAGTTTCTTAGTTTTAGGGGAAAATTGATCTGGTAGCAAAGTTTATATCTCTGAATGTACATAATATTAAAGAGAACATAAAAAAGAATAAGACAATACCTGTAAGGTAATCCAGACATTCTAGCAATTTCTTTTCTCGGGAAAAATCTAAGGCGAAGGTGTCAAATGTGTCATTGAGGTTGATTTCAGGAATCAGGACCTGGGAGGATGCAGTTGCCATGGAGACTCTGTAATTTTAAACAAAACAAGTTTTTTTTTTTTTTTTTTAAGTGCTGTCAAGATGGCTTTTATCATCACTGTGAGAGAATGGAAAAAATAAAAGGAAAAGAAATATTAGTTTTTTTTTAAGTACCATTGCTGAATGGCACAACACTAGCAAAAAGTGAAGGAATGCAAGCTTAAAGAAAAAGCAAAGGAGTTGGGGAAAACAATAGAATGCCCCCCCCTTTCTTTTTACTATTGGAAAATAAATTCCCAGTGGAGGCAAAAGAATATTCATATTTCATGTGGCTGTGTATTTAACAGCCTGGCCCAGTCACATCTAACCCCAACAAGAAGCACATAGCTCCAGGCATTTCTTCACACATCTGTCTGGGAAACTGCTTGTTCCTTTCAGACTCGCCCCTGCTCTACTTCAAAGGGGAGTCTCCAAAATTTCAAGCTGCATAAAAGGCAAAGTGGAAGCTTAAAAAAGAATGTTTCCAGATATTGGATTAGTTTAATCAATTACTAGCCTCTCTAAAATAAACATTAAAAATGGGGTTTTGTCTGGCTCTTTTTCATTCTCCTCGTATTCATTTTTTTTGTAACATATTCCCAGCAGATGCCATGAAAAACAATGAGCTTTCTCACAAATTCCCCCCGTATATGCACAGGTTCTCCTGCACACTCAGGTTTTCTGGTTAGACCTTTTGTTTGTAAACCATAAACCAACGAATACGTGTCTGTTGCTCTCAAGTTGATTCAGAAACTTCACTTATTAACAGCAGAAAATTTTGACTGATTCAAAATGCAAGTGATACTTTTAAACCAAGAAAACTGTGGCCTAAACAACACAACTTCTTAGACTGCATATGATGTTGGACTTTTTATCTTGTTCAGTTTGATGTTTCCTTAAATTCCATAAACATTTTGCTTTATCTTCTTGCCCAGCAGCAAATCTTGTCTCCCTTCCTTCTTCTTTCCTTCCTTTTCAATGGAACATCTTTGAAATGGCTTAGCTCTGAATCTAGTTATTTATTATTTTCTTATACCAACTTGAATGCGCCCAATTTCATCTTATTTTCTTATAAAGAACATTGATGCTCACTTGCACACGATCTCAGAGCTAACTGGAAACATCCAAGAGGACTGCAGTTGTACACTCCTCCATTTTATCTACAAATATTTGACCCTAATTACACTCAGTACTATAATCACTCTTGGGTCTTTCAATGCTTCTTAAAACTTTGAATTTTACAAATATACCTTATCTATACAATTATGCCCAGAGTTCTGTGCATACAATGGAAATAGTAGTCAGCCACAAAAGGAATGAAGTATTTGTACACGTTACATAATGTGGGTGAACCTTGAAAATACTGCATTACAAAAAGCAGAACAAAAGGGCCATACATCATATGGTCCATGTGTATGGAATATCCAGAAAAGACAGACCCATTAAACTGTAATCTTTAGTTGGCGAATTTTATTTTGTTTTTCACATGCAAAATTGCACAAATATAATTTCAATGGCAGTATCTCTAGGAGGAGTTCAATACTATGTAGGGGCAAAAGAGAGTGTTTCATTTGCAATGTCGTAATCAGATTGATAATGGGATTCACGGAATAAAATCCAAGAAGATGCAAACTCTGTGAATGTAATCTTCAAGCGTATGAAAGAGAATGGACAATATAATTTCACATCCTGGCTTGCTCACCAAAAAGTGTTTATTGACTAAATATTATACACAAGAGAACTGAGCTAATTGTTGATGCTTACAGCAACTCATTCAGCTGGATGCATACAAGGATACCTGCTAATCACACTATTTTAGTGACTATTCAACAAATATATATGATGGTGTAAAGCATGCCATATGACAAAAAGCCCAAAATGTTTGCATTAATGAAGGAAACTTTTAAAAAACATTTTATGCTATGTGCCTGCCTAGGGGATTTCAAAATGAAACTCCCAATGAATTCTGTTTCATAATATCTAATGGAGAGAACTGGACTGAGCTATTGGGAAGCAAGCACTGAACTTGAGACTGCCTTGCTCGGCTATTCCCATGCAACCCAGATGTTGTGTCAATATATTAGACTGCTCTGATTACAGGTAACCTGGCTTTCTCATTTCTCTTTCTCACTGGAAGGATCTCTTTGTTCAGAAATATTCAAAATAAAGTTTGTTCCCAAGTTTGGCCTACTTTTGGGATCAAGAAATAATGAAATAAAACATGTTTTTGTCAAATAATATGTCAAAAGCTCCCGCCATCTTTATGATGGGAACTTTGAGCAGTTAACTTGAGGAATGATAGTCTAGGAGGCAAAGACTGACAGAAGGAAATCTTTGGAGATTACTGCAGCTTTTAACACCTACACGTTTTCTTTCCTTGGCGGAAGAAAAGATACTTATCTTTGGCTACAATTTCAAATCCTCAAGTGGAGTGACAGGCAGAGGGAAACCTGCCAAGTTCAACATTTTAGGCCATGTTTTTATTTTTCAAATCCTTATTGCCTATCTTGTGGCCTTTCAGATAAGCTGCCAACATCCAACAGGGCTGTTAGTGTTAGCTAGGTCACTTTCTCAGTTTGTGTGTGTGTGTGTGTGTGTGTGTGTGTGTGTGTGTACAGGTGCATTTGTTTTTATGAACGTCTTGTGTCCTCCCTTGAAAAGGGTGGGTTGCACATTACTTCCCTATCCCTTTATACTTTGGTGTGTCTAGTCTGCACAACACTCAGTTGTTAGTAAGCACACAGGACCAGTTTTCAAGGTGGACATGGCTAGAACTACACTGCTCACAGGTCTTCTGCCAAATACCACAGCCTACCAAGATCAAACTCAACAAGGTATCACAGTAAAGAAAAACGTATTCAACTTTGGTCAGTTCAAGATTTCCCAAACACATTTGGCCATGTAAATGTGTGTTTGCTATAACATCAATTAACCTATTCACACCACACCGACTATATTTTGAAACCCACACATAGAATACGCTCAGACTCTTAGAACTAATCAATGTCTTGCCAGAGTTGCAAACTGAATTCTCAGCTCTGTGTTCTAGAAGTACCTAACATATCCTTGAACTGGCTGTGGTGGTAAAGAATAAAGAGATGACCTCAAAGTGAAGAAATTTCTAGGTGCCGTGAAAACACACTGTTTTCAGAACAATTTTCTTGATAGAGGCATTTTGCTGCTAAAAGTAATTTTGGATTCCTTGTAAAGAGTGCATCAACTCTCTTACGCCTGGATTTGGTGAATATTTTTGTTCGTTTAACATAATGTTCAAAAGGCTCCTATGCAATCGCACGAATGACCTGTGTATTATGGTAGATTGAGAATAGTGCTGCATTTATATTAGCACGTATCTTAAGAGCAGAAAAGAAGGGAATTTGCTGCCTGTTCACCTTGTAACAAGAGCTGTGCTAGTGTTTTTACTTCAGTATTTTATTTTATGCTTATACAAACTACGTTACATATCACAATTCAATAAAAAATAAAAAGATAAAGAATAAATCAATGAAATGGAGACTAGGAAAAAAAACTTTCTGAATGCTAAAAAAATAGAAATAAAAATAAAAGAGAATGTTTTTTCAAAGTTAAACAAAATCCCATAATGAAGAACTATGTTATGTAGGAATGAAACTATGATTAAAATAATTTATAGATTAATGAACTCATTCATTCATGTCAGATAGTTTGCAGTATTCTGAGGTTATAATTGTGAAAGCAAGATGACTTGGAGCATATGAACAAACTTTGACTCAAATTTGTTAACAAAAAGCCCCAACGCTATCCATAATTTCTAAGAAATTTGGACTGAGCCAATAGTTTATTTCAAGGCATAGGAATTGCCTATCATAAAGCTTGGGACTCTTTTCGTACTTTGGGTTTTGTTTTATTTGATGTCTCTTATTTTTAAAAATGTTTCTGCACCTTTGATTCAGTTTATAGAAGAACGTATAAGCTTGTTTTGTGAATGGCTTTATCGGTACCTTCTTGCTTTAGGAACATCTGCAAAATTGAGTTCATTCTGGGTTCTCTACTTTGACTAGAAATGATGTGAAAGAATTTACGAGCCAAAACCCAAAACACACAAATTAGGAGACAGAACTCAGAAGTCATGTTGTAATCAAGTATTTTAAGTGAAAGCTTACAAAAAGAGGAAGACAGTAAATTGTTTTTTTTTTCAGCAATATTTTTATAATATGACTAGTTACTATGAACCCATTTTCCAAGTAGAAGATTGCTCATGCATGGTGAGCTCAGCAATAATACTGGCATGGGTGAGAATTTCTTCAATGCATCTAGCTGATTGGTGCAAAACTTACGCATCTCTGTAACTACCTGTAACAATTCCACTGGATCCTAAGAAAATCATGAAGTTCTGCTGGATACAACCAATGGTACATAAATAAGACCTCTGAGCAAAGTGACTGTGTTGGGATTTGAACCCTGGTCTTCCAATACCTTGCTCCAGCTCAGTCCCCTTTTACTACATCTTAGAACATAGAAAGAAAGAAGATGAGGACTTAATCAGAATTTTGACAAATAAGAGACGGGGTTGTAGAAACACGAGGACAAAGGGCTTCAGTGCATCTTTACAGGTACTATCCACTCAAATTTGAAAAGAGCACATTGTCTGTGGAAAAAGACAGGAATCACCCTTTCATTCCTGGTGATGTGGACTTGCTACAATGTGAGATAAATTGGACCAGCTGTAGCCATCAGATCAGAGGGTAATCACTTCTGGGCATTCACATGTATATCCGGGTGCTTGTACTAGACTTTAAATGCAAGTCTCCTCTTAGTGTAAGTGTTAAGGGTCCACTTTCTCTGACAGCTAGGTGAAAATTTATTCAGGTGATATTCACTTGGATTTATAAGGATTGCTGAAGAATGCCACTCACAGAAGCCACTTCATCTGAATATGCTCCAATTCATAGACAGAGAAATGGATTAGCAGATCCCAGTTAACATGGCTGACATTTTAGTAAATGCTATCCATGAAAGTGCACTGGGTACACTGGACAGTAGTAGTGTTTAAGAGTTTAAAAAAATTTTTATTTATTATTTCTATTTTGTGTTGTATGAGTGCATTGCCTGAACTTATGTAAGTGCACCCGTGTTGTGAAATGCCCACAGAGGCCAGAAGAGGACATAGGATCTCTCCAGCTCCATGAGATTCTTAATATTAGAGTGAAGAATGAGAAATTGGACATGGTCTGGGAGAAAGGTGCAAGTAATTAACCACTTGGAACCTAGGAGTCATGAGGAAAGAACCCAGCCTCCTTTGTATAAGTAGGTAAGAGAGCATTTGAAGGACATCAAAGTGATAATGTCCAACTGCTATTCATGTCTTTTAGAGGAGATAAGCATCTGATTGGCTACAAAATGAAATTTTCCTCAACTGTAAGAAATAAAACAGTGAAGCTGGCTACCACAAGGAGACCAGAGTTATGAAAATATTGTATTCTATTCTTAGAGAACAGTGAAAATGGAAATATCAATGCCTATCTCTAAAGCATATTTTGAAAATTAGCAGTGCACTAAGACACGAGCAAGCACTTGGTGTTATTCTCCTTTTCATTCTTCAGAGAAATTTAAGTCAATCATAAGATAGTGAGCATGTTTCCCCCTAGGCCATTGGCTGGCAAAGGAGAAGGTATGGTTTGTTTTGTGAATGGTTTCATTGGGACATAGCCATCCATTTGCTCTTAGTCTCCACAGCTAATGTGGAGCGATGCAGGAGTGAGTAGCGGTGATAGAGACCTTATAACCTGTACAGCTGAAAATATGTACTTTCTGGAATGCAATCTCTGCTCTAGGATAAAGGCCAGTGATAAGGAGCTCAGTGAGGTCTTCTAACGATAGTATTCTATGAATGTTCGGCACAGAGGGCAGTTGAAAAGCAAAATGAATCAAAGGTCAAGGTGTTTGCTATTGCCTAGAGATGTCATTTACATGGCACTGGTTGTATGCAGGCCAACCTGGTGGTACTTCTCCTTGGCTCTCCTGGGGTTCTTACTTGGGTCCATCCCCAGAAAACCAAGCAATTTGTCTGCTAACGAGTAAATGAAGCAAGAGAATACTCCTTGACGGGCTTACTGCTGAACTGACCACTGGGATATGACAATTTATAGTTTCCTCCCCTATAGTAGAGGGCATTTTCAAAGAAAGCAATATGAAGTTGTAGTTTGGCCCTTTCTCTCTCACTTGAATCAGAGTTGACCTTTTCAGGTGAGGTCAACCTTCTCAACCTAGTAATAACAGGCCTAACAGAGCAACACACCTGTGCCGTTGTTTACCCTAGACAAAGGAACCCTGCAACGAAAGATAAGATTCCCTTTTATGTTTTTGCCTGTATTTCTACTCTTTGTTACTAGGTATATGATAAGATCAGGTTTGAGAGTCACAATAAATGCTGTACCTGTAACTCCCTCTCCACACACAAACAGCTGATTTTATTCTAGCTGGTGAACTGTTGTAAAGGCATTGAACTCCAGGCTGTTATAAAAGGATTTTGCTAACTCAAAGGGAAGCATCTTTAGCAGGACCAAAGAGCACCAAACTTCTATTCCCTCTGGTATTCAACTTTGAAAATGAAATGTCAGGTGAAAACAAGGCCAACCAATCAAATCACACCCAGATAGTAGTGACCAGCAGCTCGAGAACTTCCCAAGGACCCCTGCGCTCACCTTTCAGTGATATTCTTTGCGGTCTGTAGGAAACGGGCATGGTCATTCTCCTTCAGAGAGTGTTCTGCCTGGGAGATGAGTGATGCTGACCTTTCGATGCACTGCTTGCAGTTTGCAATCTGCTGAGCCAATTTGCGCAGCCTCATCACCTTCAAGAAAAGAGGCACAGAAGACACAGGACATAGTTACATGCTAGGTTCACTTTTGAAATGGCACAGGGCTGGCTCTTCTGAGGTGTGCATTGTATTATGTGTAAGTCTAAGCAGAGGAAGAGAAACTGAAATCTGGAAAGCTCAGGTATGAAAGTTAAATTTCATCTTGGAGAAGCAGCATTAATTTGTTTTGTAAGGAAACACTGAATAGTTAATTACTTCCCTCTCCCACCCCCCTTGATGGGAAAAAAAGGTGTTGCCCAGTGGCAAGTTACAAAGGGTCACTGGACCTCTTCCCTCTTTTCTTCTACATAATTACTGCAGGACCTTAAAGGAACCCTGGAGATTTCTCTATCTAAGGTTTTTCAGCTGTGCCATTAAGAAAATAAAGCATTTTTAAAGGTGTAAATTTGAGGCTGAAGTAAAACCCATTTTCTAAAAAGTTCTTTGTAATCTATGTAATAAAGTTGTGATATAAAAGTATTAGTTATTACTATTTTCCACACTGCCGAAAACTCATGCATTAAATTAACAGAAAGGCAACATTTTTCCCATTGATTAATATTTTTCCTGTTGAACTGATGAGAGAAAGCCAAAAAAAGCACAGCTGGGCCATTTCCCCTCACTGGAAACGTCATTTCCAGTCACTTTGTGCTCACTTGATAAGTAAGAATTATTTTGATAAGCATTTCCCATTTGGGATAAAACACATACTTGCTTCACAACCTCCATTCCAATTCCTGATTCTGTCTTGCTTGAAAATCACCCTCAAAAGTAATTGACCATAACCCCTGGGGCAGGCCATGATAAGTCCAGGGTAACCCACTTGACCGTGGCTCTGGTGTTTGAAATGTGCTGTGAGCTGAAGCCATCCAGCCAGAAGTCAAGTTAAAATTAGACCAGTAATTGGAATCACTGCATGCCTACTGCCCTCATCTACACACTTGGGGGTGGGGGACAGGTTTTGCTGGCTTTATGATAATTCCGGAATGGAAAATAGCCTAGGGTGAAAGGGTAAGGAAGTGGCCCAGTTAATCTGTCTTACAGGCAAGGCTGTCTCAGTCTCCCTCCAGAATTCCAGCTAATTCCAAAAATTGCTGCTTTCTCCGAGTCATCATTATCATCCCAGGACAACTCTAATCGAAGCAAAGGAAGGAAGGACATGTCAGATATGGAGGCCTCTAAGGACTGTCCAATTCCAAGTATGTGCTATAGCAAACAAAGGAAACTTAAGACTGAACTGAGAGGTGGCAGGCCCAAGATTTCAGGCACAGCCGAGAAAAATCCTTGAAAAAATAAAGTGTCAGAGAGTGAAATGTCCAAACTTGGCAGCAAACACTACGTGATCTCAAACTTGGTAGAATACATCATTCATTATGGTTGGAGTTTTTGTCCCTATCAAGATAACTGAGTAAAATAACATTTTATACCTAATAGAACTTAGCTTCTACTTAGCTTCTAGCATCATTATATATAGAGGCAAAACCACGGCAACAATTGAGGCTAATTCCAGATTTTAGAACATACCCATTACAAACTGTCACAGGGAGAATTCTAGGTGGAAAAATAAATTGATAGTCCCTGGAATAAATCAAAATAATGGAATATTTAATCATATAATATAAAGAATGATTTAAACTACATGTCCAAGATGTTTGATAAAATTTTAACAAAAGAAAATAAGGTCGAACTGTTCCGTTAGATTCATCTCATGCCAATCTCTAATCTTTTGGATATGTCTAAGTAGAGACCACAAAGATTACAAATGGATAGCCTCCAGTTTCATCCTTTTCTTCTTCCTCTATCATGATATTAGAAATTAAAAGTGACGTGGAAGGAAAAAGAAAAAAAAAACCCTAAACTATGCATATCAGCATGTTATAGAGAAAACAATTTAGGGAATACTTTTAATTATAAGTCAGTGTACAGTGTGATACACTTCATCAGTTATTCTCAAACATTATGTGCAAAATAATCAGCTGGGGATCTTTTAACAAAAAACTGTAGGTGCCTGGGCACATCCTCCAGTATTATAGCCAATGAGCTGGGTAGCAGCAACTTGGATTTTGACAAACAACGAATTTTTTTGAAATCTCCGGGCGATGAATGACTAGTATGGTCTGGACTAGCATTTAAAACACCAATCTAGCCTAATCGGAGGGTCCTCACTTCATGGACATCTGCCATGCTTTAATGTCATTCAGCCACTTTTGTGCCTTCTGACATTTCTAGAATTCTTCAGGTGGAGACCCAAACTCGGTTTCCAAATTTCTTTTGCAGCTGTTTTCCGTTTTATGTGTCAACATGTTTACCTGCAAAACTGCTAATTTATTGCATTCATATCTACTTGTTTATTTCTTAAATCGCCTTCCATCATAGATGTATGTGTTTCTTCATCTTTTAAAAGAAATGTCATGGGCTGGAGAGATGGTTTACTGGTTACTAGCACACATACTGCTCTTGAGAAGGACCTGAGTTTGATTCCCAGTACCCACGTGGGGCAGCTCACAACCTTCTGTAACTCGAGCTCCATGCAGTCCATTGCTTCTGGTATTTGAGGACGCCCAAATTCACAGTTACATACCCACACAGAGACACATATGAATCACATGTCATTTTAAAAGTAATAAATATACTTTTTAAATTTTAAAAGAAAAGTAATTAAAAAAACTTCTAAAGTGTTTCTTTTCAAGTCTTTTGCTTATTCTCATTCTGGATAAAATAATGCTGCTGATTTTGTTGGCTGTAGTTTTACTTTATTCTTTGGAATCGAGCTTATCATTTAGTTTTAAAGAGAAGCGGGTAACTCCTTGCTCTTTGCACTCTACTCTTCCTTATTTGGTCTACACTACCTGTTTTATATTCCTTTCACCTGGCCTTTGGACTCAACACTTTGGAAACCTGTTTTATTTCTGTGTTTCTCTGTTTCTGAGGCTCCTGTCTTGTGAGATATCAGAATGAATGGGGCACAGGGTCCAACTGAATAATTGACTTGCTTTAGAATTCCAGACCAAAGTTTGCCAAAAGCTAGGATTCCAGGCAGAACATGGCAATAATATTTCGCAATCTGTTCTAATGAATGCAAAGCCACATACACTCTATGATATGAAGGAATGAGCTTGGTTTCAGTCTCCCATCAGAACTCCAGCAATTCTACACCCTTTCCCCCAAACTGCAAGAATGATTTAGCCATAGGAGCTGAAGCTGTAGCAGCACCTGCTGCTTCTACACTAAGCTGCAGTAGCCTGTGTCTTTGGTCACAGCCAAGGTTTTTAATTTTATTTTGCCATTCCTGCTTTGCTCCTTTTATCATGTATTTATCATGTATTAATGTTTTGTGTTTGTAGTGGAGTGAATGCTTCAAAGATTGAACTTTGAGATGTGCTGCCACGGTTAAAATTGGAATACCTTTTACCATCTCATCTAGTTCATAAGAGGAACTCTCATGCCCAAAATTTCAAGCTATATAAAGGAAAGGATGTCATCTTGCTGAGATTTATGTTGAAGTGTCATTGTAATCTGATTTATAAACTTTGATTGTAATCAAAGTTTTCCGGAAAGCTGGGAAGTTAATGACGTAAACTCACAGAAATGGTGACATCATACACAGTAAAGGTGTGTGCCACCATATCCAAACCAAAGTCCTTTTGTTTAGAAGATAATGTATTCAAAGACTCTCAAGTTTAGGATGTGGATCAACATTGAAGGGGTATAGTAAGGGGACGGGGTCTAAATATGATTAAATTGCATTATATGAAATGCACAAAATTCAACAACCATTTAAAAATAAATAAATAAAAATTTAAAATATATAGAGAGTATAGAGATAGTGATTTTACATTTTCAAAGCTGTGGAACTACATGTTAATATGTTTTCTCCCACCGGAAAAATCTTCTGCTGCGGAAATCATACCTTCCCTTCTTTGATCTTGGTTCCAATGATTTGTCGTCTTTGCTGAATGATCTCAATGAGAAGATCACATTCTTCTGTCAACTTGGCTTCTTGACGTGATGCATTAACCTATAGGAAAATAAAATGCTGTTAATTTGGCCTTTTTAGTTAAATACTAGTGTCAAAATAAACTGATAGAGCTCTAGCAATCACTGCAGATGTATTTAAATTTTCACACTTGTTCCAACTATGGACAAATGGCAAATATAGGACTTAGGTGCTTATTCTCTGGCTTGTGTCCTTAGAAAACATGATCCAATTATAACAGCTTTTCTGCCAAGCCATACACAGTCACAGAACTTTTCCTAACACAATCTATACATTGCCATTCTCAGCTAGTTGGAAACTGCATATGAAGTTAAATATATGTATAATTCCTATCCTGATATACTTAAAAAGCAGATTTTAAAACCACATAATCTTATTAATTTATTGGGGAAAATTTACTATCAATATGATTTAGGGAAATTTCCCCCAAAGAATCACACGTTTATATCATATTCATTTAACATTTTAAAAATTCATATTTGGATTTGATCACTGTATTAAATCAGAAAAAAAGTGACTTGATGCTTTCTTAAACTTATGACATACTTTAAAATTTTATTCCTCATATGTTTAAACACCAAGATTATAAAAATAAAAGCACAGCATTCTATGGAAAGGTGGGCCAATTTAGAAGGGCTTGCATTTGAAGTTTTGAGGCTCATTGTGTGGGAGAGTTGTTACAATTATCTCACTCTTGGCAACTGAACTTTGGAAACAGTGCATACATGCTATTTCCTCCACCTCATGACCATGCTGAAATGCTTATTCACAGACAGAAACTCAGAAGTCCCAGCTGTGGGAGAAAACATCCACCAGCTTTATTATCTTAGCACAGCTACAGAAGAAGTTGTAAAGTTACACAGGATGACATTGGCATGTGATGATTCTAGCATATCTCACAAAGGAGACAAGACCCAGTTATTAGTCCTTTTGATTTGGGAAACTTTAGCTGGGATAATTTCATTCTTTATGAATGAGATAAACTGGAAGTAGTACCATGAGTTCAGGATAAACATCCACTCATCATGGCTCGCAGAAACTATGTTCTCTTTTGAGAGACCCAGGATTCCTTGAATTTTATTCCTGATCATTAACAGATGCTACATAAAGACTCCACAAGACATCTTATTGAAAAGATGCTGGTCACCAGCCATTTGTAATAAACCATAGTCTTGTATCTTACGTTGGGTGAGCACAGAGGTGACTGGCTAAATGTCCCACTGACAAACAAAAGAATTGAAAATGCATTGATTGATAAGTACAGAATTTAAAAATCAGGCTGATAATTCAGGGAATATATTCACTGGGATCAATTTCTCTTACCAGTATTAGTTTTAATACTATTTTTATTGATTCTCTGTGAATTTCATACAATGTATTTTGATCAAATTCAGACCCCACTCCCCATTATTTTATTTAATCATTTCTAACTCCTCTTGAGGCTTCCCAAGAAAATTTAATTTTATATGGAAATATTTACTTAAATGTTAATCTCAATAAATCTTTCATCTTTCCCTTTCAACCTCAGCAGAACTTAGTAACTGGTTACAATTAACTGCGAAAAGAAAGGGCCCATGTTGATAGCATGAGCGTATTACAGTGAAGTGAACTATCTGTAATTTAGTGCTGATACTCTTTGCTTGACCAAACTGTAGTCAGGTTACTGACCCTTCTTCTAGGCCCACCTGTGCACTTCCTTGTACAATCTACTTTTAGCAAAAACATCGTTATGTTGATTTAGTAAAAACCTTCCACCAGGGTCACCCTCAATGGAAGATCTTTAGCTTCCATCATGACCCAGGTGATATGTGTTCCCCTGGTCTGCCATTAGCAAGGATCCTATTAGCCAGAACCCCTAGCCAAAATCTCCTCTAACTTTTCCTGCTGATAGGATCAGTCCCTCTTCAAAACTCACTGAGATTTTACTTATTTTAGGGTACAAAAAGTGTCCCTTAGTGGCCATTGTGACATGACATGTAAGTATACTGAATTCTGTCCATTTTGTTTTTAGGATGGATTTATCAAATTGTAAAAAAGTGAACTGACATCTACTTTGTTGATCCAAAATATTATGAGAAATCTGATATAATCACCATCACCTCCAAATACAAATTTGCAGAAATTTGAGAACATGTCTGTCAATATTAGAACAAGTATTTTCCCTAGATCTTTCAATAAATGCAGACTGAACTTTCCTTTGAAACCAGAAAAGTTGAATCTCTTTTTCTACTTTGATGAAGCTCCATTTTTGTTAATTGACACATTCTTATATTCATAAATGTATTTTAAGTTGAATATTATTCTATATTTCTAAAATCATTGCACAAAAATAAAATTTTCCACAGTTTTGCTATTTCAAATGTTACTTAAAATGAGAGAATGGTTTGATTGGATATCATTTCTTATGGGTTATTAATTCAAATACGACAGGGGTCATAGTTTACTTGCAATATGTACAGGTGTTTCAACTTTATAGGTTTTTTTTGGAAGCTGTAGGTCCTGGTTATGATTTTAGCTTTCATTTTCAGATTCATGCCTTTTGATTAAGATATAATTGTGGCTGATTTAACTGGTCTGTGTGATGCTATCTAAGAATGCAGAAAATAATTCGCAAGCCTTGTTTTTGCAACATGAACTTTCACTTTTGTGTTCTCAGTATTTTCCTTGGTCCCCAAACTAAAGGCGAGTGTGGGAATGAAATAATTAGGACATCCTGTATTTGGACCAACAGGAATGGAACTAGATCTTCAGACCCCCTGATTTATCAGGAAAATATTCATATAGTTTGATTTATCAAGAAAAAGAAATAATAATATAACTTAAAGTTGGGCACCTCCCAGGCCAGTCTCCTTGCTGCACATTTTCTCAAGTGTATTGATAAGCAAAGATCACATTAGGTTCTGAAGTTAAGAGGCACAGTTGTTTTTGCTCAATGTCTCTTTGAATCTTCCCCATGCACTCAACATATACTTTCTCTATATCAAGAGCCACTACTTCCTCTTTGCTCTTGAAATACATCATCTCCTTCCATGGTTTTCTTCCATTCTTTAGTACTAGTTCAATCTGTTTCAAAATATTTTTTATTTCTTCTATAGTCAGATCCGATCTCAATTCTTTTCAAACCGAGAATTTATTATTTCTCTTTTGATAACTGCAAATTGTTATCTGAAGTTGCAAGTGTTATAGCCAATGCCATGCCAGCTAAAGTCCTGATCACTTTCATAGAATTTGCCCCTCTTACTTTGAAAAAGCCATATTCAAACATCCATTTGTTTAAAAATAGCTCCTGGGGCTGGAGAGATGGCTCAGTGGTTAAGAGCACTGACTGCTCTTGCAGAGGACCTGGGTTCGATTCCCAGCAGCCACATGGTGGCTATGAACCATCCTTAACTGCAGTTCCAGGGGAATCCGAAGCCCTCTTCTGACCTTTGCAGCATTGCATGACACGGGTGCACTCACATACATGCAGGCTATACACTCATACACATAAAATTAAAAAAAAAATATTTAAAAAGAAAAAGAAAAAAAAGAAAGAAAGAAATAGCTCCTGAACTTCCGCACTGTATCAGATACCATTCCAAGTGCTACACATATGGTGGGCTGCAAGGGGGACAAATTCACCATTACTGCAGTTTACAAATAAGTATAGAAAATAGTGTTAATCAGTAAACAGATAAATAAAAAGTTAAATTGAGACAGGCATATTAAAGATGTTAAAGAGGGCAATGTGATCAAGTGTAGGTAAGAATGGAATCCCTTTTTATTGCACAGATGAGAATTCTCTCACCTGTCAACAGGAAGGAAAAGGAACCAGTCAGAAGAAGCAGACAGGAGGTTTGGAGGCTCTCCTGATACTGCATCCAGCAGGCTAACCTCCTCACAAATTGCTTTACTTCGTCCCCATTATTTGCCAGTTCTTGTATGAAGCACTATATTTGGCATCCTCAAATCTGTACTTGAGTTCTTTTTACTCCTTCACAGACGTACACAGAGCATTAAAAAATGTGTGTTGCTTTGTACCCAACTGAGGTGGGACATGGTTATACATGCTTTCTGTGCCAGCCCTTGTGCACGGGTAACTACAAGATGGAGACAACAGGAGGAAAGAGGCAGGTGACTGAAGTACCTGGTAGTGGGGTGGTTTCTGGCTAAGTCACTACTTGAGAGCCTGAAGGAAATGTGAAAATTGAACAATGAAGTGAATACAGAAGGCAAATCAAATGTGTAAGCTTCCTAGTCCCTAGATTGAATTCAGCATCAAGAGTCTCTCTTCTCCATTAATGTCCATATCAAACACCAGTAATTGGTTACAGCCCCATGTTGAATGCTTGTGATTATACAGGTTAATTTCTTTTCTAGTAACACAATTACACAATCATTCCTTACATCAGTCAGTGATAACATATATTGGCTACCTATTTTTTCCAGCACACCCTGTTAGCACTGCCCAGTAAAAAGTTCCCCTGCTAAGTTTTATGGTGTAATAGTGTTACAAAATTTCACAGAAGGAATGGAGTAAAGTTGACATTTTTTTCCTTGTCAAATATATAAACATTAATGGGATTTAATTACAGAGACACACTGAAAATTGAACTATGTGTCTGTGAAATGTTCTTTAACAGTCTGTAAATGGTCTATTATTTCTTAAAACTTGCTATTTACATGACTTGTATTCAACTGCAGTATATAAACATCATTAGTTTTCAGACACAATCTGACCTAAAATTTTAGAAATATTTTATGACACTCTTAGAAAGGAACATCTGGTCAGTTCTCACAGGCAAAATTTAACTAAAGTGCATTTTTTTCATTTCCAGGCAGTGGTTTTAATTTCATTTTTAAAAACAATGTAAGTGTCTATCCATCATATAACATGATGGGATTTCTGAGTCTGTCTTATTTAATGTAATATAATATTCTTCAGGACCGTCCTTTTTCCTGAAAATGCAAAAGTTCCATTCTTCTTTATGTTTTTATAAAATTCCATTATGTACATGTATCACATTTTCTTTATCCATTCA